GTCCATTTACTTCCTGGTTGTCATTCATGGTATGGTCCGTATTGACCTCCACTTCTAACAGTTCTCTTCGCTCTTCTGAGGTCTTTTGACTTCTCGTTTCAACCATTCTGCCTGAAACCGTCCCCCTTTTGTCAGACCGGGATCGCTTGATCCAATCCACAAAACGATCGGTCATCGTTTTTCTTTGCTTTTCAGGTATGAATTTCCTAGAGCTATTACCTCGTTTTGGTATCCTTGACTTGTCTAAACTCATTCTTTATTTGTCACTTTCCTATGCCTACTCTTGACTCAATTGCTAGAGACCTTATAGTTTTATTAACAATAATAATGACACAACACAATAAATTTCACCAGATCCTATTAAATAGTGACCACGAATCCCTGTATGTTGTCAGAGTACAGTTTGTATAAAATTTATTCACACTAGCCGATTACCGGTCCAAAGATCTGGAAACTAGCACAATATGATGTTATCAGTCAATTTAAAAGATAGTGTACTCACTACCCAATCAAACACAGTTTAGGTTGATTTAAAATCAAAAACAAAAAATATATATTGACACAATATGAATGTATATATAAAAAACGTATGTGTCTTGTACTCTTAGTCGGTCGCAGTACAATTGTCGAACCTGTCTTTTAAAGAAAAAGCTTTCCCTGCTTGGTGCTGCACCAAACAGACAAAACTTTGAAGGCAGTTATTTTCTCAAGTGGGCGTCTATTGCACCCACCGAGTACTGTGTTACCTATCTGCCTTCGGACTGCCCGAGCTAGACCTACTAAAATCCTCAGGGCAGTCACTTTTCCCAAAAACGTGTTATGTTCCAATCCACACCAATGAGTCACGCTCTTTTTAATTTAGACTTAGTGTCGCGAATATCCGAGTTCGGACCTGTTTTGTATTAGTCTGGTTCTTTTTGAAAGGCAAGTTACCAGTGCAGTCACTGATACCTAGCCTGTGTATTAATAACCTAATACCTCTCGCTTTTTAGTCTTTCTTTCGTTTACCTAAGTCCTTAATAAAATGATACCCCTCCGGATTGGCACAAATAGGACCCTTCCGGACTGTCAGAATATGGACCCCTCCGGATTTGGACCCCTCCGAATTAGCAACTATAAGACCCCTCCGGATTCGGACCCCTCCGGTTTTGTGGAAAGTAGACCCCTCCGGATTCGGACCCCTCTGACTTTGAAAAATTTCGACCCCTCCGGATTGGGAGCCCTTAGCTCTGTCAAAGTAGCTTTTCGTAGTTTTCTTAATTTCAGCTTATACCCCTCCGGATACGTTCTGCGTTGCTTTTATGCTGTTTGAATTAACTGGGAAGGGTAAAGGGTCCTTTCCTAGACCCCTCCGGATTAAAGTTAAGGCACTTATTTGACAATTCACACTAACGGTGAAGGGTCTTATCACTTGCCTAATTTCGACCCTATTATGGTTGTCTTGTGCCTTCAGCCCTCCCTTTTTGTCTAGAACTGTCTTAAGTTACTTAGTTCAATCGCTATCAACTTTTGGTAGGGGTATAAGGGTTTTTCAGCAAAATTTATAAAACGTGAAGGGTGTACCCCTCCGGATTTGTGTAATTTGCTAAAAACAATCTCAAAAAATTTTCTCGCTCGCTTTTTCGAGTAATTCTCTTTCCTACTAGTAATTTCAGCTAATTTCTGATCTAATGGTACCAAGATTGACTCGATATGCTCTGTAGTTCCAAAGTTATTAACTAAAACGTCTTTCTTCCAAACTCAAAAATTTTCTCTCTTATAGGTTCCGCCTAACTTTTTCCGCAAATCTGGTCCTTTCGACCTAAAAATTATTGATCTGAGCTCAGAAGGCCTATACTCTTCTAGTTCAATGCAAAAGACCCGATCTAAAACGCTTTTGTAGAAAAAATTTGCGAAAAACTATGCTACCTGGACCCCTCCGGATTGATGAATCCACCAAATCAAACACGTTATGTTCGATTTCTCTGCAACCCGGAAGGCTTTCGGGTAGCGGGTTTTAAAACTCGTAGATTCACTAGTCGACGTTGTCCGAACAACTATTTTTACTGTCCTAACTCAAAGATTTCAAAAAATTTTCTGATTTTATAGTGCTTCTTACTATCAAAAAATGGGAAAATTTGGTTTTTGGTACCAAACTAGTTCCAACCACTTCCGAACTAAAGTTAACCGGTTCTACCTATTACAATAGTGCAGTTACGATGTAACACACTAACTTAGCGCTTTTTTCCGTTTCAAAAAATATCGATATCTCAAAAATCGCGACTTGTGGGGGGATCAAAATATCGCTATTTTGACCCTAAAAACCGGTCTGTTTTCGTTGTTTTTCACTGAAAAACGATATAAGACTATTAATATAGGCTAAATAAATAATAATATTAGTAATACTATACCCCTCCGGGTTTGTTTATTATCCGAATTAAGGTGCTTAACTCGGATATTCGCAGTTCGGTGAAGGGTCACTACAGTGCAGCACTGTCGAGCCCCCCACAGATTACTATCTTACTTTTTGTACCAAAAGGGATACAAAACTTGTTAACGATACCCAACAGTCGATTGTTGTTGTCGTTGAGCCCCTTCTTGTTGCTCCATGTACTGCTTGCCGGATCGGTCTTCACCCAGGACCCTTCCGAATTGAGCGCAAATCAGCTGACCCTTCAGGATTGAGCGCAATTTATCATTAACGTGCTTAAATGCTCAAATAACCCTACAGTACAAGCCTCACAAACGGGCTACAAAACTGATCGTAACGATCCTGACTGATATAAATGCCTGTAATAACAATATATCTATCAACAACAAACGGGGGGGTTGAATCACATCTTGTCTGGGGGGATGATTTCTACTGATTTTTTACTTTTTTACTGTTTTTGGTTTTTTCGGTTATTTTTTATGTTTTTTGTTTTTCTTGGGTACTATACTACTTTTTGTTTGGTTTTGCTTATATCTTTAAGTGTTTTTGGTCACAAACCACTCAGGGGATGAGGGGTTCATGATTCCCCCCACCCTTCCTGGTTCGTGAATTTTCGGTCTTAACTAGGTTAAAAAACTATTCACGGTAATCCGGAAGGCTTCCGCGTTCCGAACTACCCTTCCGCCCCAGCAGTTTAGGCCTATTAAGGGCGTTAATGTGAGCATCCGCTCGGCGCGGAGTGCTCGTTAACGGTTCCGCCGGTCATGATGTTATGAAAGAATAACACCCAGGAGCGCCATAAAAACATACATGTAACATTCGCCCGGAAGATACATATCGACGGATAACAAAACTAAGTCTTAAGACGACTGGCTAGCGTCTAAACAGAGCTTTGCATGTTTTTCACCGTCTCTACCAAGCCAGTACTTTTCGGTGGTCTTTTCTAACATCGGGTCGACAAAAACGTTACTGTTCTCCGGCTTCGACCAGAACGCTCAAATTAACTGAATTACATGCAAAAATAGTGAGCTCATGGCTGGGTCTCAGTATCCCCAGACCACGAGGTCACTCCTAAAAACAGGGCTACTACTTATTATATTACTATTGTTTTTGTTCAGTAGATAAAAATCATCATCTCCATGGAAGATGGATCAACCCTTTCCCCCCCAACTCTTAGCACCTCATCCTTGTCAAAACTAATCCAAATATCAATTAAATTCAAGTCAGGACATGACAGGATGCTAAAAGTTCATATGAGTCAATAAAAGTTTTCCGTCCCGAGACCCTTCCGGATTCTTGAATCCGGTGAATCAAGCTCCTTAAGTTCGATTTCACGACAACACGGAAGGCTGGTTTCTTACCCTTCACCGTTGTTCGCAACGGCCTTGCAACTATTGTAGCAGCACAATAGTTGCAACTCGGAACGTTCTCTGCAATCTGCTGCTGTTTTTCTTCAATTTCGACTTCTTCAATTTCGATAAAGTTGCTCTCGTCAGCGCAACTAATGTTGTTGTTGTGTTCTTTCACTCGTTTTTTGTTAAAATGGCCGTTTCAGCATTTCTCAGAAATGTGACGTCATCATTCGAATTTTTGAAATTTTAAAATACTAGAATATTCCAGCCTTCACCGTTTGGCTAAACGTTCCAATAACGCCCTTAGTTCTTAAAAACCACCAATCCGGAAGGCTTACTGCTAAAATTCCGAATTCTGCAGAGATTGCATTTTGGCCATTCTGGTCGAATGTCACATAGGTCAAAAGACTAAATTAGCCGAGTCTCGGTTTAAGGTCGCCGGTGGGCGCGCTACGCGCGCGTCGCCGCTTCACGGCGATAGCCGGCTCTAAATTTCGTATAGAGTCCTATACGATAAAGTTTATTGTACTCGGAACAATAAATGACAAAATAACTTTCGACGAAATTTTTTACTTGTAACACTTGTATATTATATTATCTCGTGTCGAGTTGCGTGTTCTTATTGAAGAAGCGTAACCCGTATCGATTTTAAATGAAAAGTACTTAAACACTTGACATCTTCTTTTATCATTATCACTTCCATATCTAGAAAATTCCAAGGATTTTGACTGAAATACATGATGAAGGGACTCATGACTGTAACCTCGGTTACTATGATACTTTTGACCTTCTGATTACCTTATTTATAGAGTCCTACCCTTTGGTGGCAAGCCCGCAACGCGTTGGCGCGGCTGCGGAGGTCACTATTCTGCAGCTTGAGCTTATGATGGTTGAACAGTAAACAATCCATGAATTCGTTGGGTCAATTTTCAACCAATCAGAATTCAAGAAGATAAATTTTGGAACTTATGCGACTGATTTTTTATTTTGGAACCTATGAATATTTGAACCTATGGGAATTCACCCTATAGGAATTCACCGGGTTTTTAGTCTCATGTCGCAAATGAACCGAATTGGCTCCGACCGTTCGAGGTAGAAAAAACACAAGAGATAGTGTCCCTGACTCTTGAGCCAATGGTTATAGGGCCTATTTTTCTTTAACCTCATATGTGACCGAAGTAGGCGACTGTTACATGGTTTTGTATGTCATTGCAAAGCAATTTAACCTTTTCAGTTACTTGAATATGAATCCTTATTTACCACTGGGGACAAGTGGCAGTGACATCCAAGAAGTCCGATATGAGCACTTAAAATCGCTTTTGGTGAAAAGTAGTCGTTTCTCGAGCTTGCTTCTTTCAAAGTTAGAAGTTGATAAAAAAAGAGGAAGACCAACTGCTGATAAAAAAGCTAACAAGAAAGCTGAAACTTCTAAAAAAAGCAAAGCTCAACTGGACGAAATTGTTCTCAAAAATGTAACAGAAGAAGGGTCTAAATCTACAAAACACGATACGGATCAGAATATTGATCATTTGTGTGACTTTGACGTTCCAAAATTGTTCATTGGTAAATCATTTTTTATCTGTTCTAAAAACGGGCAAAATTAAAAATCAAAATGCTGTGCTCTTTGAAATGCATTCGTGAGAAGGACACCATGAGCGTTCAATCTGAAGTAATGTGGCTTTACAAACAGGTTAAAAACTATCAAAGTAACAAGAAAAAGATGACAAGCCACTTCTATCTGCAGATCTTAGCTAGGATAGCCGGTCGCTGTAAAAGCAGCACAGAATGATCCGACCATATTCTTAAAAGAATTTTTCGTTTTCAAATTGGGTCGTTTTTTTTTTGTTTTTGGTTGAGAGTCTCTAAATGAAAGCCTATAACTTCGATATGATATTAACTTAGATAAATTTGACAACTGTTTTTCACATGAAGTAAAAGGAAAAACAACAAAATTCAAAAATTGCGGAAATCGTGTCCGACTTTTTGATGAAAAGTTTTATGGTTCGTTTGTTAATTTTTTTTCTGAAGAAGGCGCTAAAACAATTTTAGATAACATTTTTTGAGTGAAACTAAGAACTGTTACATACATAGCTTTACTCAAAAAAAAATTTGTTATCTGAAAATCTTTTAGCGCCTTCTTCGGAATAAAATTTTTACAAAAAAACGAACCAAAAAACTTTTCTACAAAAAGTTCGACAAAATTTTTGCAATTTTTTGAATTTTGTTTTTGAGCTTTTTAATTTAAGTTGAAAAGTAAATTTGATCAGCCTATTACAAGCCTGCTCGCTTGTTTTATTGGTAGTAGTTTACTTGTTTGGTCCCGTGACAACACTAGTTTTTTCAATGGTCGGAACAACAAATTTATAAGAAATAAAATCAGGAAATTTTCAATGTAAAAATCCACTTTCAGATTTTAACATTTACTGTTGATTCTTTATAACCTTAGCGCTTCTTAGGGACTCTACGCGAGTACCAGAAACACGGGATGAACTGGATGCTGAAGCTGTACATGAATGGTATGAATGGCATCTTGGCTGACGAGATGGGGTTGGGAAAGACTATTCAGGTCATTGCTCTATTCTGCAGTTTGTTGGAGAATCAAGTTCTAGGTACAGTGTTTCCCTGCAATACGATTCGAACTACATTATTGTTGAAATCGACAGTGTATTAATTTAAGTGAGACAGTGATTTGCTAAAAAAAAGATAGATATATTTTCCCTCCCCATAGTAGAAAGGGAAATTGTACCCAGACACAAAATTCGTTCATGTGTAACTGTTTAATTAGCCCGTTATTGGGTCTTTACTAGGTACCATAGGGGGGACATATTTAGAGAGTTCCAAGATTAGAGTGTATTTGGTATGAAAATTAGGGTCAAATTTGTCTGACCAGCGTGAAGGTTGTTTAACATATTCGTTCAGGTTGAATTCAGGAAAAAAAAAGTAGCTTATCAAATGAATTTCAGGTCCATTCCTTGTGATTGCACCTTTGTCTACCTTATCCAACTGGGTAAATGAAACAACCAGATTCGCACCACACATCAAAGCAATCATGTTTCACGGAGATAAGGTGAATAGAGCAGCTCTACGTGATCAGATATTGGCGGCCGATGCAGATTTGAAGCAGTCAGTCGTTGTGACTAGCTATGACATGGCAATGGTTGAAAGGCGATGTCTTGCCAGGTAACGAGACCTTATTGCGAGGTCTGCCATTAATGAAAATTTTCTTAGCCTCTATATGTGGAGCAGCATTTAATAAAAAAATATTTAAGTCCTGCTAAAAAATCTATCGGGTGTTGGTAAAGGTGAAATATTACTATTTTTTTGGATTTTTTGAGATTTCCGGAAGCATATTCTTTGCTACCTGATATGTATAAATAAATTATGGGAAGGGAAGGCGTTAGAACTGTGGCCAAGGCAAATAATTTTGGCCCGAATGTGAGAGTTCGAGTCTCTTAATATCACGTTTTTATCTATTTTTTTTAAATTGATTTTTCGTTTCACCAATTTTCCGAAGTGCAGCTTCGACCCATGTATTATATCTTAGTGTACTCATTGGTTGGTAGAGTTCCGTGGACATATATGGTAGTGGATGAGGGACATCGACTGAAGAATATGAACTGCAGACTCTTAAAGGAGATATCGTTCTACAAAGTACAGAACAAACTCCTCCTCACTGGAACACCTCTCCAGAACAGTTTGAACGAACTTTGGTCTCTCCTTCATTTTCTCATGCCTAGTAAGTAAATATTAGTCGTGCTGCTTGAATTTAATTGCCCGTTCCAGTGAAAAAAAAACTGATTTCTTCAAATTGAAAACGTCATCAAAATTTAAAATAAGAGTTGTTTTGGAAGAATTTTCAAGAAAACTTCACAGAAAAAAAATCCTAGTTCATAGGTTTCTGCCATGGAGGTGAAAACTATCCTTTCAACGCAATGTTTTAAATAACGATTTTCTGGTGTTGTGTTTCTGCAATGTTGCAAACGGATACTAGACATTTATTTTGACCAAACAGTTTTTACTGTGCAATTTTGTGCACAGGATGACCTTTGTGGTCGTCTACAAATCTGTACTTTCGCTTCAACCAAAAAATTATATGAATCAAATCTGCGTTTAAGATCCCCGTTTTATCAGAATTTTGCTTTTGATGTTGTTGTAAGTTTACAAACTCTGATTTGACATAGTTTACGTTTTTTTTTGTTATTAGTTTCTCTACCCTTGCGATAACAAATGGTATTGCAATCGGGTACTAGACTTTTTTCCCGTAAATAACTTTGTTACAGGAACCTTTTCGTATTGAATTCCTTGAAGCCTCATAGCAAACAATTTACCGCTACATATTTATTTTTTGCTTCTTGGGATTTTAAGTATGTGTCCTTTTCGAATTTTTTTAAATGTTTGTAATTTTACCAACTCGATTCATTAAAAATTCATGTTTTTTGTTTCTATTTCTTTTCCTTCTTTTTTTCGTCTTGATATGTCTCGGTGTGTATTATATCGGTTTACTAGCCGCATAATGTGTTGTTCCACAAGCAAAAAAAGTTTTGTGTGTGTGTGTTTTGAGGTTGAGGGGGACTTAATAACTTTAAAGTAGTCTTAAATTTTTTTTGAATTTTTTTTCGGCCCATTTTATATCGGTTTATTGGCATCATATTGCGAATTTTTTTGCGTGTGTGTTGGGGGTGAGGGGGACTTAATGAGTTTTTGAAGTCTAGTTGAAATTTTTATCAGCTGAACTTTCTGCTAAGATTTTTTCGGCTTTGTTAAAGCTTGGTAATTTTTCTTTTGATGTGAGTTTTAAATTGTATTGTTTTGGTTTTTTGTTTCCAAACTAGCGGTATACATTTTGATAGATCTAGTTTAATCGACATTTTCGATTTTTTTTTTTATTTTAGCTGATTCTTGTTTTGTATCGCAAGTAGTGCAAAATTCAGCTTCGCCGCTGTGTCTATTTATTTGAATTATATTATGTTGGCTTAGATTGGCTAAACAGATCTTGTATTGTGGCAGGTTTTCAGGCGTGTGCGTGTTGTAAGTGGGGGATTATGAAAAAATCGTATGTAGGCTGGTTTGTCATTCGGTTTGTTTTGTATCGGATGTGGTTCGAAGCTCCGCTTCGTATATGTTGAATAATAAATTATCAAAGTTATTGTAATTGGATTTTAGTTTTTTACCATCAAGAACTTTGCTACCAGGCGTACTTTCTGGAAAGTACAACTGGTAAATGCGCACTCTTCCAATGCGGTTTTTGTCAGCCAAAAGTTTTGATCGATATTCTTTTAATTCGGTGCCGGCTGTAATTTTGTCGTTTTTAACCTTAAATGCATTTTTAATGCCTTTAAGGATGGCAAAACTATTAAAAGCAATTTTTCAGGGCTGGTTTTTTGTCGGCTTATTTTTCAAGCAACTCATTTAGGCTATATTGTTCACTGAAGGTAGTTAGTAATGTTTTAATATTTGGTTGTAATATCTTAGTCTCAGGTAACCTGAGTATTTTGGTCTTTTTTTAGTTCTGTTACTTTCGTTACAGAATAAGTTTTTTCAGATGCTCAGTCCCAAACATTTTCATAACTCTAATTAAGATAACTATAGGTTTTGGTGTAGCGTTTTTTAAAACTATTTTAGTAAACACAAGCTAATACAAGCCCGCAAGATAAAATGATGAATCCCTCATAGGCGAAATACCGAATAGGCGAAATCGAGCGATCAGGTTTCAGTATTCCAAAATCTGGAAAGAAAGAGTGAAAATCTCAAAGAAAGTGAACATTTCCAGGGACTTAATAATAATATTGGACGAAAATTGAAACGGCAGAAGTGTGCAAAGTTTTCAAATTGTCACTGTTCGCCGGCGAATTGAAACAATTTTTATATTTCAAGAGTTTCGTTTTAAAAGAAGCAAAATATTGCTTCTTTTAATTCTTTGTAGTTGAACGGCAGATGAATCATTTTATGAATTGACTTTCGACTGTTTTTGTTTTCGGTACTTCGAAAGAGTTTTTCGACCATTCGTTCCTTCGCCTATGAGAATACCCATTCTTTTCGCGTAGCACAAACTTATTTGGAAGTTCTTGCAGCAGATTGAAGTTTCAACTGGTGTAAAGTAAGGTTTCTGTTTTGGTTCATATAGGTCTGCAGTTCGAATCTCTTTGGCTAATTCAACCAAGATTTTTGCTTCCATAGTTTTTGTATCCGTGTTCATGTTTTTTTTATTCAATTCTACATCTTCGACTTTATAAGATTACCGTTATTCCATCATATTTGATGAAGTTGAGTTTAAGAGTTAAAAATTTGCAAGGCTAAAAACTTAATTTTTTTTACTGTTGCTGAGTTGTCGACGTCTATTTGCCGAAATTTTCAGCTAAAGTTGACATATTTTCTGCTCTTTCTCCATTTCATCTATTCTGTGATTGTTTGTAGTGCAAACGAAAAGTTATTCTGGAGTGATTGTGATCTTTTTCATTTTGTCTGTTTCAATTAATTTTTTTGAAAACTGTTTTTTGGTTTTCTTGTTTCGCATTTTTGTATCGCAAGTCATGCGAAGCTCTGCTTCGCCTGTGTTATAGTTATTTGCAATGGTCATTAGGCGCGACGTCATAAATTTCATAAATTTGTTTTTCATATCGAATTATTCAAAAGCGCATTTTTAAGAGTCGAGGAATCTAGTGAAGACTCATTCATTTGGCACTGCTCCGATAGACAATTTTTTTTACTTTAAAATTTATCTTGATACCTACCAGCTTTCCTAGTTTTGAAGGTCGTTTCCTGCATCGAAGCAAAACTTTCGGTGATTCTAAACACTGATTGCGAGTGTTGGTGTATTAGTACGAGTTTTTTTTTCTAACCTAACTCGCAAATAAAATTGTTCATTGAAAGTGTTACTTTTTTGGTGGCACTTTTGCTATAATGACGGTCTGTAGCATTGGAAATTTTAAGACATCTGTTCTCTGCTTCATTTGTGGTTATTGTTTGTGAGTTATTAAGCGTCCTTGGCTGAATGGTTAGTGCTTGAGACTCATAATCTCTAGGTCGCAGATCAAATCTGAGACGTAGCCGCATTTTTACCAACTTGAGGCTTATTTCTACTTTTTCTGATTGCACTTTCTGTAGAGCTGCTTTTTATCGTTATCTCGCCAGTGTTTGCGAAGCGCAGCTTTGCCTCTGTAAAACTTCATTAAAGATTTTAAATTGGTTTTGTACATGACATCAAATCGCCTTTTATGAAACTATGTTTTTTCATAAAACTTACTTTCACTAGATGAAAGATAGATTAACAGGTATATTTACAAATATTTACAAAAACCTTGAAATAAACAAAATTGATAGAACATTTCTCTATCATGGGGGATTTCTGGAACGTGTTGTTTTGGTGCTTAGAAAAGGAGTAATTTTCCTGGGACTGTTAACGATTTTAATTTCAATATGTGCTATTGTGTATGCAGGTATCTTCTCGGACCTGGAGAGCTTCCATATGTGGTTAGACCAGAATGCACTGATGAAACAAGAACAGAAGCGAGAACAAAAGAGACAGGAGCAAGAAGGGGTGAAGGTGAAAGAAGAACCAGAAAGTTGCGAAGCTGCAGAGCAAGGCAGTGTTAAGAGCGAAGCGGAGGAGCGTGAAGAACAGGTACAGTTGTTTTAAAATCAATAAAAAGAGCTAAGGAAGGGGAACTAGCATGCAGCTCTCACTTGTCCTATAACTTTTAATCATCGTGATGAAGCAGTTACGGAAAAGTCAAATTTGTTCATTTTCTAGACAATTAGTTTTTTTTTTCAATTAACCAAGGAAAGTAGTGTATTCAATTAATGAGAAAGAAGCTAAGAAGCGTTTGGTTTATTTGACAGGTGTTGTGTATGGTGCAGCAAATCCTGACCCCGTTTGTGTTGCGTCGAGTGAAGAAAGAGGTGGAGCTGGAGCTACCTCAGAAGAGAGAACTGCTCGTGTTCTGTCCCATGAGTGCCCTTCAACTAAACTACTACAAGGTGGGCGGTGTTTATAAGTTGGATTATAATAATATCCTTGTCTAACTCCAGGTAGATCAGTCAATCCAACTACCTCAAGGCATTGATGTCCAGTTTAAAAAGTTGAACCAATGTTTTAACCATTAACCAATGAATTTTTTTTCTAAACCAAATCAGTTTAACCAATTTTGCTTCTAAACAGTGATAAAACATATTATAAATACTCTCAAGCTTATATTAAATGATGCACGTTTTGAAAGTAGTCGGCACGCAGTCGGACGTTATTAATTAAGTCGTCAAAATTGCTAATTAACGATCGATGGCGCACGACTGAGTGGCAGTAGAAAAAAATGATTCCTTGGCCTAACTTAGATGAGAATACACTCCTGAAAAGCTAATCTATGAGTTAATATTAATTGGTTTAAAAGGACCTATTTTTAACCAAATCGGGTTAACCAATTGGTTTTTGATTAAATCAGTTTAACAAACCATTTTTTAACCAACTGGTTAAACCAATTGTTTACACAAGCATAGCTTGTGTTATAGTATGAACTTTCTTTTTTTTCCAACCTAAGTCGCAAATATTGTTGCGATGCAATTGTTGCGACAAAATGTATTCCTTTTGAAAGTGTTCATTTTGATCCAGCTATTAAGTACAGCCAATGCTATGGATATTAACACAGACAATTATATTAAAAACAGCACTTTAGCTTCAAGGCATCATGGATCTGTAGCGTAGAGGTAGGGAAGTAGACCAGTAGCAAAAAAGGAGAGTTCAAATCTGGGTAAGGTCGGATGTTTTAATGAACTGTTTCGTATACTAGTTAAAATGCGTCCGCTCTATAATTTGAGGCATGTTAGTTGGTATTTTTTTTACAAATTGACTGCTAAGGCGTCATAATTGGCTTGCGTCACTTAGCAATTATGTAGACTCATCATTGGCGTGCGTCACTTATGAAATTTTATAGACTTTCAAAGTTTTACTCATTCAGTTTTTCCCAGTAGCGTTATCGGTCATATTTTTGCTTGTGTATGCGAAATGCGACTTCGCCTCTGTGTTAACAATTGGTTATATTGGACATCACTGCCTCAAGGTATAAAAATCACTGTTAATATTGCGTTGAAAGTTGTTTTTTACAAAGTCGAAGGGTAGTTGGGGTATTTGAAATAAAGCAAATTTTGTACTTCTTGCTTTTCTTTCTTGTAGGACGAATAAGCCAGACGCTTTATTTTGCGAAAATGCCTTCATTGCATTGATTTTTTTTCAGTATTGGAAAAAATAGCCAGAGCTATGATTGAACAGTGGAACTAAAACAAAGTATTATTTGATCATTATAGCGAGCTTTGAATTGATCTATTCGGAATTTTTGAATATTTACAGGTGGTGTCTGACAGAACGATAGTGTCTATTTTGGGCCACAGCAACCACGAGGTAGACCACTTTGACTATGAGAAGTTATGGCGAGACTATGGCCGAAACAGACGCTACACAGCAGATAGAGTGAGTGGAAATGCGGCTAAAGGCGATTTCACTCCTCTAACCACTCATCGACACTCGCCATTGCACGCTCGTGACGACAACGACGAGATGTGCAGACTATTCAAAAACTCTAAACTGACAAATTTTATGGCTCTTCTGAAACGTGTCTGCAACCATCCCTTTCTGATCAGTAACCCCCATGCAATCGGTGATCTAAACTGGTACGAGGACTATTTAGACACATCTGGAAAAATGCAACTGCTCGACAGAATGCTGGAAAAACTCAAGCAAAGAGGGCATAAGGTTCTTATTCGATCCTATATTTAAACATTTTTGTTGGTAAAAATTGAGACTTAATTGTGTCCACATTGTTAAGAGTCGATAAACGTAGTTCATACTCTTATATAGGTCGCGATGATTTTCTTTTCTTTTTTTTCAGGAAAAGTCATAAAATTTGTTCAGGCTTAACATTACCTTTTCGAGGTCTGACTTGATTTCTTTTTTAAGTTCAGTCCATTTCCTTTGCTTACACTAACGAGCTTGCGAGCGTTAATGTATAATGAGGAACCTTCTTTTTAGGTGGCAATTTTGTTATACTCACGATCTGTAGCATTGGAAATTTCATAGCATCTCTTCTCTGCTTTATTTTTCATTTGTGGCTTGTAAATTATTAAGCTCCATGGCTGAGTTGTTAGTGCTTCAAACTCATAATCTGTAGGTCGCAGATCGAATCCGAGACGTACCCGACTTGTACTAATTCGAGGCTTAATTCTACTTTTTCTTATTGCACTTTTGAGCTGTTTTTTGTGTTCTCGCTGGTGTTTGCGAAGCGCAGCTTCGCCTCTGTGTAAAAGGAAGGCAAAAATTCCACTATTGAACAGCGAAAGGTCAAGAAAAACGTTTTCGACTTCTCTTTTCGAAAATGGAATTTAATTTTCAGATTTCCCATCGAGTTTTTTTCAAAATGGGTTAATTTTATTTAAAAAAAGTGCCAGTAATAAATTGTTCTAGAAATTCAAAGAGGTTTATGGGCATCAATTTTTCTTTGAAATTCGAAAGTTGAGATTTTTTCAAATAACAAGTCAGTTTTTGTTTTTAATTGCGTGCACTGAATTTTTTCCAACTGTCTGTTGGCTGTTTTTTTTGCTGTTTAACTTCTGAAATTGAATCGCCAAAAGCAACGCTCAAAATTGCTCTTTCCTGGATTACTGGGATTCGAAAACACCTGTAGACTTTGGTTCAATCCCCTGGTGTTGATGTTCTCCGAGTCTTGTGTTAGTGTGAATCTCGATCATGTGTTAGTGTGAATCTCGACCAAAATTGAGTTTTTTTCCGGTATAAATTGAATTCTCCAGCTTCTGTTTGCCAATTTTTGTCGGTCTTTTTTTCCAAGCATGGAATTTTCTTCTGATTGAAACAGTATTTACTATAATTGACAATCGTAAGCAAAATCGGATTTTTATTATTTATGTTAATTGTTTTATTTAGTTTTTTTTATCAAATGGTTTCGGCTTATGTTAATCGTCTTATTCGCTTATTTTGCTTAGTTTTTGTTTTTATCTTTTGAGTATTTCAAGGGGATATGGTGTATCAGCTCCCGAGAATAGTAAAAAAAAATACCACCAGGAATGGTTATTTTTTTGGGGAGGAAAGAGTATTGGCACGTTAAAGTTGGCGCTTCAATAGCGAAATACTAACTAATTATGGAAAAAATGTTTTAACGGTTTGAAGGTTTTTCGCGGTTTGGTTTTAGATTTTTTTTTTCGGTTAACTTCACTTTTTGAAAACAAGTCAGTCTTTCTTCTGTTTCTTGTTTTTTTTTCTTTTTCAACCGTCTGTTGGCTGTTTTTTTAAATGTTTGTGAATTCGAGACAAATTATTAAGAGTCGATGAATGTAGCTCGTACTCTTATGTAAATCGCGATGTTTTTTTTTTTCGTTTTTTTTTCAGGCCATATTTTACTTTCTATTAAAAGGAATGCAAACTGCAGTCGAGCAGCTAAAGTGTAAAGGTAGCGAAAAACGTGATTGGCTTCTTTTTTCGAAAGTGGAATTTAATTTTCAGTTTTACAAGCGAAATAAAAACTTTACCTAATAACCCAGTGTTCTCAAATTGGAACTTTATCAAACAAAAAAGTTTCAAAAAATTGATATAAAATTTCAAGGGGCTATAAGGCCATATTTTTTCAAACTTGAAGTTCGAAAGTTCAGATTTTTTCAAAAACATGTCAGTTTTTTTTCTGTTTACTTTCGTTTTTGACTCTTTTCCAACTGTCGATTGGCCATGTTCGATTCAGGTCAGGCCTCATGGCAATATTATTCGACTAATGCTAATGGGCTGCGGGTTCCGCTACTGTCGGCATAACTCGAGGACCGTAAAGTTTCGAATTCTTGTGCTAAATGGTAGGCAAAATGTCTTCTCCATTGAAAAATGTGCAAATGGCCCGAAAAACGTGAAGACTTAAGTTTCGAAGTTTAATTGTTAAGAATTCTCGGGAGAATAAGAATACCTATCCAGTTTTATCAAATAAGTTTTAAATAAAAAGGTCCTAAATTTGAAAAAGCGCAAGGGTGATATTTTTGTTTGAATCTGAACGATCATTTTTTCCCGCGGCTCCGAATCATTGGCAGTTTTCCAAATTGGCTATATTCGTAGTGTTTTACTATGAGCTATTCCTAAAGATATGGGAAGTTAATTCGTTTCTGTAAAATCCACCTTGTTCTAGAATTTTGGTTTTGGCATTAAAGGTTTTATTTTTCCAGGTGCTGCTATTCTCCCAGTGGACTTCCATTTTAGACATTATTGAGGACTCTTTGAGCCACAGAAACTACCGCTACTGTCGCATAGATGGAAACTGTTCTCTGGCTGACAGACAAAGTCAGATTGACGAGTTCAACAATGGACACTCAGATACAAGCGCAAAAGATCACCTGTTTCTGTTCCTGTTGACCACTAGGGCAGGAGGTCAGGGTATTAACCTCACTGCGGCTGATACTGTCATCATATTTGACTCGGACTGGAACCCTCAGATGGACCTGCAGGCTCAGGACAGGTATCAGTTTTAAGTGGCAATGAACGTAAAAAATGCTTATATAGGTCTACTTTTTATAAAAGATAAATCTTGAAATTTGTTTATGCCAAGTATGATCTTTTGTAGTTTGACAGTTTGATTTTTTCAAGTTCAATTTGAGTTCTTTTTTAAAGAAAAACAAAAAGGCGGAAATCATGCGAAAAAATAACGGCTTGTAATTTGGAAAATAGATTTTAATTTATAGATTTTCCTTGCGGAAGAAAAAATTTCCTATCGATAGTTTTCTCAAATTGGGTTAGTTTAATCAAAAACTAGTCAGTCATGAATTCTTTTTTAAATTCAAAGAGCTTTAAGGTGATTTATTTTTTCTTTGAAATAGGAAAGTTTTATTTTTCAAAAAACAAGCTAGGCGTTTTTTTTCGATTTCCTTGCCTTTGTTGAAACTTTTCCAGCTATCTGCCGGATATGTTGGAAAGTGTGCTCTTTAAAGATAATTTTAATTTTATATCTAATATCAGTGACTTTGAGTAACTAAATCGGTCAAGAAACAATTTATTTTTTGACAGTTTTGACGAATTAAAACGAACCAAAAAATTATTGGTTAATTAGCTTCGTTCAGATTCGTTGACCGAAAATGTTATTAGCCACAGGCGTGTCTGCTTCAACTGTGTTTATTTGCATTCTTCTTTCTAGGTGTCACCGTATTGGTCAGACTAAACGTGTGTTGGTGTACCGTTTGGTGACTGAGCACAGCGTTGATCACGTGATAGTACAGAGGGCGGAGGCCAAGCGGAAGCTGGAGAGAGTGGTACTGCAGGACGGAAGATTCGACGCCTCACACCGTGCACTCACTCGGAAGGTTAGTTATTGCTAACGTGTTACACGCAAGTTTTTGATACCTTCAAAGGGCAAAAAAAATCAAACTATTTGAAGCTCGATTAATTGATTTTCTAGTGTAAATGTACAATAGAGTGTTGCTATGTTCAAAAAGCACCATTTGATGATATTTCTATGTTGACTTGTTTCCGTATTTTGTGGATGAATTAGGTTGGTTTAAAAAGATTGTGGTTTTTTCCTAGTCCAATTGCATACTATATTTAAGTTTTTAAAATAGGTGTTGGACCTTGGAGAGATCAGAGCAATTTTGGAGGAGCAGGAGCAGCAACATGTGCGTCTTCGGGAAATGAAAAAAGAGGGCGAGGATCTTGTGAATGATAAGATGCTGGAGGCACTGCTGGACCGGGACACCATCTTTGCAATGTCTCAGGAGGAGGAGCAATGTACAGGTCTTGCTAACGACTCGCCTAAACTCAATGACAAGGAAAATGGCACAGAAGATCCCCGTATCAAAAGAAATAGTGCCCTGAATGAAGAGTGTGAGATTAAACATGGCGGTAAAAGACGAAAAACGAGCGGGAACTTGAAAAATAATGGCAAAGAGAATATCGAAAAACAGCAGGTGAACTCGAGTCAAGAATCGGTTGTCCAGGGTCACAAGTTCTTCCAGCTAGTTTCTGTAGAAGGAAACGTGCATAGCCAGAAAATCAAAGAAGAATATTAATCCATGGTTGTTCTTTCTGTATTTTCTTGATGTCCTTGAATACAAAAAAGAAAAACGTTGTGCCTTAATGCATGTGAACTCAAATCAACCCAAAAGTTTGCGTATGAACGCACGAACAGATAGTTACATGCGACAAGGGAATTTTTAAAACCTAACTAAAAGTTGTTAGCGTTATCAATTCTGTCTACGCGTTGAATTGTTGTTGTTTTTTGTTGTTTTTTGTTAAGTTGCAGTTTCTTTGATATCTGAGTGAAAAATCTACACTTTTTATACTTGATTTTTACTGAATATGTTGATTATAGTCAAAGTCAAGTCTCTGTGTTTCTGAGAAGAGATGATACAGAGCTGATTTAAATGAACCGGACAAACCGAGCTAAGCTTCAAATTTAAAACGCGTTTTTCTCAAATTGGGTTGAGTTTAGGCGAAAGCTTATGCAGACAAAACTTGCTTAAAATTTTAGCAGAATTATTTTGGTGGAATTTGTTTTGCGAAGTTCGGGCCCAAAATTGTACCCCAAAAAAGGGTTATTTTGGCTTTTCTTAGTTAATCAAAAATTACGCCAAAAATACCCAATCGATCACAAACATAATTATATCAAAGTGAGCCCCTTACGTAGCCGAACAAACTTTAAGAAGGGTATATTCTCCAAAACATTGTATAAATTAATTTATTTTTGCTTGATAGACATAAAAGGTCGTTTTTACTATATAAAATACCAACTTTTTATTTAAAAACAATTTTTAAACGGTTTGCATTTTTTTGGAGAATATACCCTTCTGAAAGTTTGTTGGGCTACGTAAGGGGCTCACTTTGATATAATTATGTTTGTGATCGATTGGATATTTTTGGCGTAATTTTTGATTAACTAAGAAAAGCCAAAATAACCCTTTTTTGTGGTAAAATTTTGGGCCCGAATTTCGCAAAACAAATCACACCACATTAATTCTGCTAAAATTTTAAGCACGTTTTGTCTTCATAAGCTTTCACTTAAACTCAACCCAATTTGAGAAAAACGCGTTTTAAATTTCAAGCTTAACGCTTTCGTCCGGTTAATTTAAATCAGCACTGTATTTGTTTGATGCTCTCTAACCTCGGGTAGCTTTTCATAGCTATTATTAAAAACCTCTAGCTGTTAACAGTGTCTTAATTTTATTGGGCCAATTCTCAACTTTTTAAAGTTGATTAGCTTATTTGTTCTGCAATACTTGAATTGACTTTTTAATTTAATATTACCTAGTAATGAATAATAAACTGTTATTAACCATGCTTGTCCTTGCTCAGTGTGATAGAGAAAAAAGAGTGAATAATCATGTTCCTGTTTTTAGGATCATCATGATGTTTACGTTACCAGGGCAGTTTTTGAATTAACTTATGTATCATTATGTATTTAAAAGTTTTAATGAGCAAAGTGAGTTTTCACTTATTTAGATAGTGTGGTTTTTCGGGTTTAGCTTTCAGGTCTTCACACTCAAACATTTTTGTGGGTTGAGTTTTGATATAATTTGATTTTCTCTTCTAACTCTTTGGGTGATTGGAAGGCAAATTACGCTCTCCACTAACAATAGTTCAAATGGTGCGATCAAAAACGTGATTGGCCTTAATTTAAAAAAGTCGAATTTTCTTGTCATATTTTCTTGAGGTATGAAGAAATCTCCCAAAGATCCAGTTTTCTCAATTCAGCTATGATTAAGAGTCGATGAACGCAGTTCAGACTTTTATATAGGTCGCGATGATTTTTTAAAGCTTTTTTTTCAGGAAAAGTCGTGAAGTTTGTGCAAGATCAAGTTTATTTTTTCGCTGTTTGACGTTTGATTTTTTAATTTCAGTTCATTTACTTTGTTAAAAGAATGGCAAACTCCACTATCACTGCTTAAGTTTAAAGGTCACGAAAATTGTGACTGAAGTCCTATTTCGAAGATTGAATTAAAGTATCAGATTTCCCAGAAAAAATTTTTTACCTAGTGATCAAGTTTTCTCAAGAGGCACTTAGCATAGTGGTTAGGTGTTCACATTGAAATCGACAGATAGTGTATTCGATATAATGCCATGGCAATGATAGTGTGTGAGGACGAGCTCCCACTTGACCTCTAGCTTCAGGTCTACCGCGGCCTGACCAATTTCGGCTGCAATAGTGGTACCACGTGAAAGTTCTAGACGCAAAAAAACGGCCTTCAGTCGCAAATAAGAGCTCGGCTCAACAAAATAACACAGTCTGGAATGTGTGGAGATAATACAAATGGACTATTCTCGACTGGACTGTTAACACGATTAGCACGAACCACATTTAATTTTTTTTTAATTGAGAAATTGGAAGTTTTTTTGAAAACAAGTCAGTCTTTCTTCTGTTTCTTGTTTTTTTTTTCTTTTTCAACCGTCTGTTGGCTGTTTTTTTTAAATGTTTGTGAATTCGAGATAATATTATTAAGAGTCGATGAATGTTGCTCGTACTTTTATGTAAATCGCGATGTTTTTTTTTTTCGTTTTTTTTTTCAGGCTATATTTTACTTTTTCTTAAACGGAATGCAAACTGCAGTCGAGCAGCTAAAGTGTAAAGGTAGCGAAAAACGTGATTGGCTTCTTTTTTTGAAAATGGAATTTAATTATCAGATTTCTCATCGAAATAAATATCTTTACTTATTAATCCAGTTTTCTCAAATTGGGGAAATTTAAAAAAATGTCAGTCATTAATTGTTCTTGAAATTCAAAGAATTTTAAGGGCATCTGTTTTTTTTTGAAATTCGAAAGTTGAGTTTTTTCAGTTTTCAATTTACTTGCGCTCATTGACTCTTTTCGAACTCTCTGTTGGCTAGATTTCTGTTTGCTTACAAAGCACCGTAACTTGGCGTTGCAACATTGTACTGATATCACGCTTTGAACGGGTATGAGATTAACTTCAATCGTCTACATAACTATATTAAGTTTTTTTTTTCAGAAAGTAATGCAATTTGAGTTGAATGGCGATTCAGTCGAGAATGGAACATGACTAAAAAGTGAGATTATGAACCGGATTTTTTTTTGTAAGTAAGTGAAGCTGCTCTGGTTAATATAATTTGTAGTCTGATCTCTTCCTTGTTACTCCCAAGGATTCATTTTAAAAATCTCACCGCGTGAGATTTTTACACGTTCCGAAATGATGGCGTCAGATGTTTCAACGAGCGTCAATGAAAGTCAACATAGTCAGGTTCAAACTAGATTCATGAGTGCTGGAATTGCAAGTGCCTCGACGTCTTCGTCACAGCCTTCATCGATACCTTCAGGTCCGCCGACATCGGGTTCAAATTTGGGGACATCTGTAGTGCCTGCCGATTATGAGAAAGCGTGGGTCTTAAGCGAAGAGCAGGTTGTGTATTATACTCGTCTCTTCACGCGTATGCAGCCCGATTTGTTTAGCTTTGTTGACGCAATTGCTGCCCGTAATTTTTTCTCACAATCGCGCCTCGATACAGGATCTCTGTCTCTAATTTGGGATCTATCTGACGTCGATGGAGACGGAGTTTTATCGCTGGACGAATTCTGCATTGCTATGCATTTATCAGTGGGTACCAGACATGGTCTACAGCTGCCGACTAGTCTTCCAGGAGTGCTGGCACGCGTGGCTGGACAAGTGGTCGGCATTGCGGCAATATTCGCCAAACACACTTCCATTTCTTCTGCATCTCATTCACCACAATCCGCCTCATCTGCCACCAGTACTACGCACAAGGTCAGCCTGTTTTTTTTATTGAGATCAAAAATGAACTCAGAAAACGGCTCGCGGACTAAATCTCCCAGGGCAAAGACCCACCGGATATAATCCCTTAGGACAAATCCCCCAGTATTTGTAACAATATCCCTCACATTAGTGTTAGGCAAAAAAGGCAAAAAGAAAACTAAATTTAACTTGGATACCATAAAGAGAGTCAAGGTAAAACTAGAAGCGTAAATAGAACTAGACTATAAATAATTTGAATTAAAATGACAAATTAACATTATCGATCTCCTTGTAATTGGCTGCTGAAGATACTATGCGTTTTATATGCCCAAAATTATCTTCCTTCCTCGAGTGAACTTTCTTTCTCAACTGCGATAAGTAAGTACCTGCAAGCATTGTTGTCTTTAAATAGTCTCGGTGAGTTTGACATCTGTTACATTGAGTCAAATCCACCGTGAATTCCAATGTAGCGTTTCTTGTTATCCGGACAAAATTATCCTCTAAATATTTTTTGATGTCGTCTTAGATCTGATGGCTTTGGGTAACATTTTTGTAGTACTGCTCTACATGCAAAGGCAGGCGCAGCCAAGAGGCTTATGGACAGATTGAAGAAGTATTTGCCCTCCCGATGATGAGGTTAACTGAATTCAAGGATCTTTCTTAAAATAGCTTGCGAAAAATGAAAGAAACATCCCTTATTTTCGTTTTTTTTTTTGGAATTTGGTCCCATGGAGTTTATCGAAGCCATTTCAATCAGTTCAATGATTACAGAAACTGTTTTTTTTGTGTGTCAGATTTTAGATCCGACCACAGTGCATTGTATATGTCCTGTCGCTTATTCGGAAGAACTGCGTATATGCAGGGAAAGTCATTCTGTCAACAAAAAAATGCACTTTTTAGATTTCGTTGAAGTTCTGAGGGCAGCTCTTCAAGGTTCCATCAATAAACTAGTTTCTAAAACGGTTGAAGATATCAATGTTTTTGTAGCATAAAAGTACCATTTTCCAAATCCTGAAACCGCCAAATTTTCTAGAAGAAAGTATTCATTCAGTGTCTGCATATACTTGATAGGCAGCTCAGTTTACCGACAAATTAGGATGCGTTGGTGTGGTCCGTTTTCATAGCAAAATCTTCTGATTCTTCATTTAATGTAAGAGACTGCAGGCATCTATGAGGAAAAATCTGTCGTCGCGTGTACTAAGGCTGCGGATAGTACTTTCTGCGTAGAGGAGCATGTGGTTGCCGCCGTATCCTCTTTGGTTTTTGCGTTGATTGCATGTTTTTATTATTGCGCGTAACCGGGTTCGTGCGTATGTTCATGAGCTGACAATTTCAGAAAGTCTCCCTTTGATGTCCCAATACTGGCCTTGCCTTGCTGCTTTGATCTCCTTTGTTCACATTACCATTGGATTGAGTTGGTTAACTCTCGTTTCTTATAGTAGACATAATTGTTGTAAGGCTTTTCGTCCGCTATTATTACTCCAGGCAAAATCAACTCTGTTCGACTGCATTTTAATTGGAGCGCAATTCAGAAGACTCTGGCTGAACTAATGGATAAATTTAGGGAACTCTGGTTAATTTAATGGATAATTTCAGGGGACCCTGGTTAATTTAATGGATAAATTCAGGGGACTCTGGCTTAGATAAATTAATGGACGCATCAAATGCAAGTTGGGGTTCGGATCTGCGCGTGTGCAAAGCTTTCATCTGGCAATTTTTTTCCAAACTTCTGTTGCCTATTTTTGGTTTCTGGCAGAGCGCAGTTTCAATTATTATTATTATTTTTATTTTGATGTGCTTGCAGTGCTCCAAGTTTTGGTTTTTCGTATAAGTAAAGTTTGTAGCTAGCCTAGAGCTCACCCTGCAAATTGCAGCGCAAGTGGAATGTTGAAGTCGCAATCATTCAGTTGCTAGAAATGTTTATAAGTAACTATAGCTAGGGAACAAGGGCTTATTAAGTGGCAATGAACACTATGGAGACACTTGTATACGTCGTGTTGTATTTTTCAAGCTCAAGTTTGATGTTCCTCGGCTCGCCTTTTTAAGTTTTTCAAAGTTCAGTTTAAATTATTCGAGGAGGGTAAATTACGATTTCCAATATCAAAATAAAACATTGTCATTGTAAATGGCTAGAACGGTCAAGATACGTTCAAAACTGTTGACTTGTCTAATTGCTACGAATTTTGCTTGTGATTTTATTATGCAATGACCAACATTTTTTGCCACATAAATATGTAAAATCACAATATTCAAGCCATAAAATTAATGTTTGTCTGGTGGGGATAATTTGTAGAAGAACTTAAGATTCAATTCAGAGTTCTGGAAGAGCTTTAAGGTGATATATGTTTTTCTTAATTCGAAAGTTAAAGTAACTCAATCACTTTTCGTTCGGTTCTCAGGTAATTGACATTTTTTCATTTTTCTGTTGACTATGATGAGTTGATACGCCACCTGGGTATATGGCTAAGGCATTTGATTCTGAATCCCCAGGTTTATGGGTCGAACGCTGCTTACTGAAAAAAATTTGTTTTTGTCAGGTTTAGTTTCTTTCAATGACTGTTCATTTTATATTTTGAACTGTTCATTTTTTAATTTGTTTTCGTAGCTGTTTCTGTGTTATGTTTCGTAAATTTTTCTGAATCGTTTAGCTTAAAAAAGAAGTTGTGAGGCCTCAATCAATCTCCAAATGAAATCTTTCCTTTTCTATAGATTTTGTTGTCGAAAGCAAACGGATAAAAACAAGTGAGTGGTTCACAAACCCATGTTCTTTTCGTAGGTAGGAAAAAGTATTGATGTTCTCAGAAGATGGCAAATTGTTGCAGAACTGAAAATGAACCGCCTTCATGTTGATTGTTTAGAGTGAATTCCAATCTGGCCAGCCATCATCTATTAGCGGTGAGAGAGGTTTTGGTTTCGGTTTTGATGACGACTTCGGATCTCATTTCACGATGGCCTCAGGCGATACTTCGGACCAATCGGCTGTGAGAAGCGCCACTTCGCACCCCCACGCACCTACCTATTCTCAATCGGGTGGGGGCCAGACATCCTCCCAAAGGGCTGGTCATGTTCCACGTCCAAATGTGCCTAACCCGCAGCAACCGATACTTCCTCCTAGAACCACGACAGCTCAAGAAGGGACTTATGACTCTGTGTCAGTTTCTCCCAGTAACCCACCACCCTCGCACCCACCCCCTGCTTTAAGAGGGGGTTTCAAACATACTGTACAAGCGGCAGCATCTGTGAACATCGAGGTTGATGGGCGCGAGTTGCTTAGTAGGAGCAATACTCAACTGATTGGAGAACTAAAAGAACTTGTTGTACATAGAAATAAGCTAGACCAGCAGATAGAACAGTTACAAAATGTCCTGATTCGTCGTAGAACTATAACGACAGTCCAAAATGATGTATCGACCAATGGGCAACAAGCACAGTATTCTAGTAATAGAAAAATCAGCCAACCTGGTAGCCAGGGAATGGTCGTGGATTCGAACCCCAACTCAAGCCAGTATTTGAGCCAAAATGTATATATGTCGGGAGCCAGTGGATCAGATTTAAAACCAAGGCCACCACCGCCTGTACCAAATATTTCGGATACAGTTCCCATTGTGCCTTCCTGATGGAAAGATAATGGGAGCGCGTAAAAAACGATGAACTGAAATTTGAGGAAGGAGGGAAAAGTTTCACTTTAGAAGCCATGACAGCCAATCTATTTTTATCACACGCAATTTAAAATCTCATAATTTATAAACAATATTTGTTATAAGCAACGTAATATATCACATAGTTTTGCTATTTCGTTTCAATTAAAGCCATATTTCAGAAACATTTTCCTGACTATTTTTTCGAACTCGCAAAAATATATGCTCATTTGATGCCACTGTTATGTCTGCTATATTGATGCCTAGTGTTTGACGATTGTCAAGCCACCGTGACGAAATTGCGAGGACGGGGGGCTGTGAATCTGCAAGTCCGGTGTTCAACTCCGGTACATTAATTTTTTGAGTATTGGCAAATACTATCTTTTGAATAGGCTATATTGGTTTTCAGTGTTCGACTTTTTTTTGGAGGGACTGGTCATGGTGCAGACAACGGGAGACTCTTTAATCGTCGAAAATTTAATCGTTCTTACTTAATTTTACCCTTTTTTCCATATTTCATGTTATTTACCTTATTTTAAGAAATTTGTTTGCCGTTTTTGCTTGTGTTTGCGAAATGGAACTTTGCTTCTGTGTGAAATCTTATTCTAGATACATGGAACTCAGTTTGTGAAAGTGAAACAGCAGAACTGAATAACTAGTTTATTCGGCACTGCCATTGCCGAATTTCGAAGAAGATAACGGAATATTGATGCTCAAAAAATATTTTATGCTAAAAACAATTTTTGTGATCGAAATAGTTGTTTTCGACGGAAATTCTTTATACCTAGATGCAGGTATCAACCGCTTTATTCCAAATTAGAAAATATTTTCACCTTAAGTTAGGCTGAATAATGTGCGTTTCAAGAATTTATCTATTACTATCTACGCGTATGCGCCAGTTTTTCATGCTCGGAAAAGATTTCCGCTCAAGTTATTCCAATAAAATTTCCAGCAGGCAATTGCTCTGTTCACATTAATTTCCTGGAGAACTCATTTCGTTACATTTAATACTTTATAATAAATTTATTCTTTATGATTCGCTGAGGGGCCTGAAAATGAAGCAAAATTTTTGTAACATGTTTTAACAAATTTGTATTTGGCATCGTTTTTGGCAAAGATTAAGAGTTTAAAAGATTTTAATTTGGCTAAAATGTTGAGAGTTTATGCGCGCTAATTTATACGAAGTAATCATTTTCTCTATGCGAACTATCTTATTTTTCTCCACTTATATGCGCAAATTATTTCGGCGCGGCGAATCATTTCGCTATCGGGATCATTTCATTTTGAATTCAGGGAAGCTCATTTCTACCATAAATGCTTGCAGTACCAATAACTCACTTTTATCTTTCTTATTTTTACATTTGTTGTTCATATTTTTTTTACCTCATTTGTAAAGCTTTTTTTGCTTGTGCTTGCGTTGCGAAGTAGAACTTTGCTTCTCTGTGAAATCTTAGACTAGATACATCGCGTACATCGTACTCAGTTTGTAAACGTCAAGAATCAGAACTGAAGTACTAGTTTGTTCAGTACTGCTATTGCCTTCCCCTGGCTTTCGAAGAAGTTAACGGAATATTGATGCTCGAATAACATCTTGTACTCAAACTAATTACTGAAACCAATTTTTGTGATCAAAGTAGTTGTTTTCGACAGAAATTCTTTATACCTAGCTGCAGATATCAACCGCCTGAGTACAAAAGAATGTTTTTACTTGAACATTTTTAGCAAACTTCTGTGGATATGAACATCGCCAATTGGGCGAACTAACTAGGCTGAATTATGTGCGTTTTAAGAGTAAATCAATTACTATTTACGCGTATGCGCGAGGTTCAACAAGGAAAAGTTTTTCCGCTCTTAATTTATTGGCAATAAGATTTCACGCAGGCAATTGCTCTCTTCTTTCGAGAACTCACTTCGTATAATTTAATACTTTATGACTTGCTGAGGGGGCCCGAAAATGAAGCAATATTTTTGTAACATTTTAAAACAATTTTGTACCTGACATCATTTTTGGTAAAGATTCAGAGTATTGAATTTTTTCATTTGGTCAAAATGTTCAGTGTATGCGCGCTTATTTATGCGAACTACGTTTTTTATATTTCTCTAGTTATGTACACAACTTATTTCAGAGCGGTGAATCATTCCGCTCTCGAGATCAGTTTAATTTGAATTTAGGAAAGCTAATTTCGCCGATAAATGCCTGCAGTACCTATAACCCAAGTTACTTTAAATTGGCTTGTGACAGAGAAAAAAAATTTATAAGAGAAAAAGAAATTTTGAAATTTATTAGCTTTATCAATTTTTTCTTTCATCTATGAATATTCGAGACAAGTAAATGGCCAGTCGAGTCGGAACATTCTGGGAGTCGACCCGATAAAAGCAGTCTTTGAATTATATGCGGCATTACATTTATGAATCTGAATTGAACACTCTGCTAAGTTCGTGTTTATATAACGCTGAATTTTTTTTCTGTAGCCTTCGACCGCGTAATTTAACATTTTTGAAGCATGTTTTTTTTTCATTGTTCCGACCATCTGAAAATGGGGATAACTTTTGTATTCGGGTGTTTTAGTTTTTTCTTTTTGTTTTCCACGCAAAATCAGGTATCTTAAATAATTATGGGAATGGGTCGAGTGCTATATATCAAATAAATCCTTTTCAGTCGTGATTCGAATATTAAAATTTTTTACAAATATCAAGAAAAATCGGTGTATAATTTCTGGTTTTTAGTCAGTTCGAGCGAATAATGCGAGCGAGCAGGCTTACAATAGCTTGTTTTTGTGCTTAGTTTAGGCCGTGAAAACTTACTTTTATTTAAGTAAAGTTGTTATTTTTTCAGCGGCATTTGCAGTTTTTTTTCAGCGGCATTTGGAAATAAAAAGCTTCAAAAAAATTTCCGCAAATTTTTGAATTTCTTTTTGATTTGTTTTTTAGTCATCTTTCTACAACTTTTGCCTATTTTACTATGACTGTCGAATATTTTTAATTTCCAATTTTTTGTTCAAATGGTTTTATCACACCACAACGCAGAAAATAACGACAATATTTTTGAAAAATTTGTGTTTTTTAAGACTATGGTCGGACCATTCTGATACTTGCACAGTAACCGGCTATCTTTGTTAATTATTTGTTTTGCGAAAACATAATAGTTTTATCGCAGCTACTTGCACTGTTTTTAATTTTTTTTTCAGCTGACGATGATCAAAGTGAAGACACTTATTTGAGTCATGTCGTTTTTGTTACCAGGAACCGTCATAAGAGTTGTTCACGCTTCAAAGGATTTTATTGTGGTTTTCTTTTGACCTTTTTTGAAACTATCTTTAATTAACTTACTAAATGGAACTCAAATTACGCTATCTAATAACGATATGGCAAATGAAGGGAAGAATTCTCAATTTTCCTTGTGAAATTTCAACAACTACTTCATAATCCAGTCTTCTCAATTTGTTCTTTGACACTTTTGCAACTCTGTTGGCCTCGTTTTTCAAGTTGGAATCCTGCTTTTTATTCATTAAGTCACCGTTGTTTTGCTGTTATTCTGGAGTTAGCAGCTAATATTTCATCAATTTATTAATCGATCTAAAACATAGAAACGCTGCTGCTCAGAATCACAAGTTGACCCAACAGCCATTAAACAGAAATTTGATCGTGTCAAGGAAAATGTGATTTGTTCCGACCAAGGGAAAAACTTTGCAATCGGGTGTGTTAGCTTTTTTTGATAATCAGGTACCACATGTAATCATTTTGTTTTCCACGCAAAATCTGGTACCACAAATAATCATTGAAATGGCTCGAATGATTAAACATATTAAAACCTTTTCAGTTTTGATTCGAACTACATTTAAAATTCAAAATTTTTGATGTTTGGTCTAAATTCAATCTAATAAGGTGAGCGGTGCAGGCTTACAATATCTTTTTATGCTTTCTTTAAGCCGTAAAAACTTAGTTAAACTCGATTAAAATAGTGTTTGGAGTGTTTTAGCATCATTTTGGGAATCAAAAACTTGGCAAAAAAAATTTGGAAAAATGTTGAAAAATTTTTTAATTGTTTTTTCGATTTTTTTCTTCGTTTTACTTGCCATTTTTCTACAAAAACTGTTTGCCAATCGACCTATTTGACTATGACTGTCTCATTTGCCTAATTCTATTTTTTCTTTCAGATTTTTTTAGTCACCCACACAAAAAACTCGACACTAATTTGAAAAAAAAAGTTTGTTGTATTTTCTTAAGACCATGGTCGGAACATTCGGTGCTACTTGCACAGTAACCGGCTATCCTTGTATTCAGTTGTACATGTTGATGAGATGCAATCTGGAGGAGTCTCTGACAAAAATGCTCTTGCCAATGCGGAGCGAAAAGACTACTACGGCATCCTTGGGGTGACCAAAACCAGCTCAGAAGCCGAGATAAAGAGTGCCTATAGGAAATTGGCCATGAAATACCACCCAGACAAGAATCCGAACTCGCCAGAAGCGGCTGAGAAGTTTAAAGACATTTCCATTGCGTTTGCAGTTCTCTCTGATCCGACAAAGAAACACCGTTATGACTGTGGGATGGACTCCACGGATAACTTCGATGGAATTAATGTGGACGAGATCGGATCCGTCGGCAGGCTGTTCGGCGCCATGTTTTCGAAGCTGGGAGTGCCTCTGCCCACTCAAATATCACCGAATGTGCTTGGCACTGCGCGACAGATCTGCAGGAAGGAATCTGATGCGCGAGTACAGGAGGTTGTGTTAGGTATGAATCAGAGTGCAAATAATTGTTCCGACCATTCCCGCGGAGGAACTGAAGATTGAGTTCAATTTTTCTTCGCAAAATTAGTCAATGAAATTTTCAAGGGTATCGAGTGAGGTATTGTTATCAGGCCCCTCCAACATAGTATCATAAGCGAGGTAGCACTTCCATTTCTTTATTTTTCACTTTTTGCCGCGATAAGTAGCCTAAAAATTCCTTTCTACATAGACAGCAACTAGAAGCAGTCGAATGTTTTTACTGTGTCAATAGTGTATTATCTCTATTTTGTTTCAATTTGCCGGACGAAGGTGGCTGATGATAATCAAGTTGTGTAATGAAATCCTGTTATGATGACTATGGACGAGGATGATGATTTATGGCGTGTTAGGTCAAAGTATGGATTGTGTAGGTCAAACATACAAGGCGACCATTCCCAAGAGTGAGGCGGCATGGTACTGGCTGGAGGTTGACGAACAGACGAGTGAAGCGGGAGTGCTGGTGCATTGTCTGTCCACAGCCAGCAGCAAGTACAAAGTCATCCTGTTCGACAAGGACGGAGGCACCCGTCAGTTCGAGGACAGCTCTAAGAAAAGCAGACTGGGCACAGAGGCAGGTTTTGAAGTTCTTTTTCAGTTTCAACTAAAATAAGTTGCAAAAAAATTAGAACGGACGAATTCATTTTCAAAGGCAATCTGCCAATTTTGAGCAGATTTTGTATGCAAGTGTTTAGCTTACCTTGAGACATATTTTGTCTGGAAAGTCAGCTTTTGCATTCAAAAGATTTCTGAAAGAGGTCCTTTGCTCTTAATTAGATTTGCTTGTCCAAATTTTTGCATATATATGTCATCTGGAGAAACAACATCCACCGAGAAAGAGGAATACTTTGTTTTTTACTAAGCTAAGTGCTCAAGCTCTTTCGTCGCTGGTTTTTGGACCGGACAGAGATCCAACTGAAAAGATTCTGCGGAGATGCTACTGAAGAAGATGACAGACAGATTTGCTGCCAAACATCGCAGACTCATTTTTGTATAAATTTACTTAATTTTTGTTGAAATTTGAATCCAATTTTTACTATTCTATTCCAAGTTACGCCCCCCCCCCTCTGGAAAAATATTAGATCCGCGCCTGAAGCCAAGAGTATCAATTTTTGTTTCGATTTATCAGGTTTCTGTAGATAGTAAATTTATGTAGAATGCATATGAAATTTTTGTCTGATTCTTGTTTAGAAGTTTATTCCGAGCAAGCTTTCTTCTGAACTCTTAAAGGTGCTTTCGGAATTCCCATTATTAGATTTCTGAGCTAAGTTAAGTTTCTATTTGACGTGTGTAGGTGGACATGTACTTTGTGTCGTGGGATAGGTTCAACTTGTCAGACCTATTTCCACTCAAGTTCATGACAGAAGACGAAGTGCCAATCACATTCCGCCGGCTAGACGGCTTCGAGTCCAGTCTCAACCTACTGCTAAATCCAGGTCAGTCACTCATTCTCTGGCCCATATTTGGCTGTAGGTAAGTGGCATTGCAAAGAAATTGTATTGAGCTAATGGACGTTTTTGTTTTAAGGTTTTTATATTAGTATGAAAATTATGTTAGTCAAAATATTTCATATATTCAGCCAATTCGAATTTTGAAAAAAAGTGTTCCCCCAGAAAGTTGGAATATATATCAGCACCACAGGCGCCTTAATTAAAATTTTAGGGTTGCTTATATGCGCCTAAATCCGCCGGAGTCTAGTGGAACATAAAGGCTTGCAAAAGCTTTTCTAGAACTATTTAAATGCGTATTAATTTTTACGCTAGCGAGAAGCTAGTGTTTTAGTGCGAACCTTCTTTTTTTCTAAACTAACTCGCAAATAAAAGTGTTCGCTTTGTCCTTTTTGCTAAAATCATGATCTGTAGCATTGGAAATTTCGTAGCATCTGTTCTCGACGTTATTTGTGGCTAGTGTTGTTGATGGACTAAGCGTCCGTGGCTGAGTGATTAGTGCGTGAGATTCATAATTTCTCGGTCGCAGTAGGTTAGAGTCCGAGACGTCGCCGAGTTTTAACTAATTAGAGTTTTAACTTATTTTTACTTTTTCTTATTGCACTTTTTAGAACTCTAGAGCTGATTTTTGTCGTGTCCTGGCTAGTGTTTGCGAAGCGCAGCTTCGCCTCTGTGTTTAATTGAGGTTTCGGCTCTGGTAGTTTTGTATTTTGTTTTAGGTCGCCACCTCTTCTGTGTTTACGGTGACAACTGGATCAATGATGTCAAGTTCCAGATCCAGTTCTTGGCTTGTTGTCCGAGGGAAGGAGAAGCGGGTAATATAGTCCGCAACATCCAGGAGACCGAAAGTAAGATGAGCCGAAAAAAGACGCAACTGCAGAAGTTCCAGACTGAGTACATGGCGGCCAAGAAAGCCTTCGAAGAGGTTTGTATGTATGCATTTCTTCTCAAAAATTTTTTATCTGACTCTTTTGACCTTCAAATATCAATTTAAGTTATTTACACAACCGATGCGTAGTGTAATGCTATGTTGCACGTTTTTTTTCCAACCTAAGTCGCCATGAAAGTGCTCATTTGGTGGCAATTTTGGTATATTCCACTCATAGGCAATTTAGTCCGTTTTATAAAAGCAGATACTGTGAAAATTTATATGCTATGGTTTCTTACTTTTAATTCATTACGCTTGCGATTAGCAAGCGGTATCAAACTGGAAAATAGACTTTATTCTGGTTAACAACTTGTTTAACAGAATCAATTGAATGACTGGTATCTTGATCCATGATGACTTCTATGCATTCCCAGCCAACTTAGCGTGGAGGTAACGATTGAACGGCAAAGGTACTGGGTTCGAATCTGGCCAGGATCTGTTTTTTTTTAAACGGAAATATTCTGTGTCAAATAAAATTGTCGGCCAATTATTTATCTGCTTATGTGATGTCGACTTAGTTGTCACATCTTGGAATCGTGTTGTTTGCTGCGCGCATTTTTCTTTAATGTTTGTTTAGTGTTTGATTGACTCCTACAAAATGTAATTTTACTTACATTGACTTCGTGTTTTCTTTATTTGTTTCGTTAACAAAAATTCCTCGGCCCAATTTTTTTTGGCCCAATTTTTTTCGGCCCACTTTTTATCGGCTTAATGACCTAATTTAGGGTCGTCTCAAGTGAAACACTCACCTTTGCACTTTTCAAGCTAATTGTATGTTCACCAAACGGTTTGTTGAAATTTTTTTTCGTTATGGAAAATTATTTCCAAATTTATTGGAAAGTTTTTAGCCTTTCTCAGAAATTTTACTGATTTTCAAAAAAGGGATATCAATTGAAATACTGCCTATTCTACTCTGAGCCTTCATACTCCCCTAAAGTCTCTCTTTGTCTACAGCCTTCGAAAAACTGTGGGGGAATATTTTACCCATATTTTTGTTGGGGATATTTGTCTCATATTTTTTTTCCGTTTTCTCGAAACTACACCTCTCAAATCGGATAATGTCGCCTAAATAGAGATAATGTGCAGTGGGAAGCTACCCTGCATTAGCACATACTCACAAAGTTTTTTACACAAAAAAATTCGCCCTCGGAAAAGTCCATTTTTTTTTATTTATTGACTGTGTTTTGAACTTTTTGAATTTTCTCGACAACTTCTCTGCCATATCTGAGATTTTTTGATCGATTCAAAGAATAGATTGTGTTGCGCTCATTTATTTAAGCGACTACGCCAAAATTTTTCTGACAGCGAAAGTTATGGTCCTCGGAAGTTTGTTTTTTGACAGTTTTTATAAAGGTTTTGTTCTCGAAAACTACCCTCCCAAATCTAAAATTTTGGATTCAACCGGAATTGAAGGTGGAGTAAATTCGTTCCAGCAAGCGGCTACGCTCCATTTTTCAACACAAAAGTCTATGAATCGTGAAAATGTCAAATTTTTTATTTGTTGACGTTTTTTGGACTTTTCTCGCTAACTTTCCTGCTAAATCTGATATCATATTTTTAAGGAAAACAACCTATTGTTGAAATTCTACGTTTATAATAGCCTATGCCCAGTTTGTTATGGCCTTCAAACAAATCAAATTTTCACAGTTTTTGGAAACTCTTTTACTTTACGCGAAAACTACCGTGCGAGTAGAGAAACCCGGTGTTCAATCGAGAAACTCGATTTTGGGAATCTTCTATGCTTAAGCGGCCTCAACCTGCTTTTTGCCGAAAAAATTTGTGGGTTTTGGAAAGTCTTTTGACTTTTTAGAACTTTTGACCGTTTTTTAGAAATTTTTTTACTTGTAAAAATTTACCCAATTGACTCTGAGATGATAAGTTCAATTGAAAAAACCGGTTGCGATAATTGTTCCCGCAGAAGCGGTGACTCCTTAATTTTTTGTAAGAGAAACATTGTGTCTTAGAGAAATTCCCAGGTCTCAAAAATTTTCACTCTTGCGTATCTTAGTAGAGAAACAACTATGGTTATGGGCAAAGTCCAATTTTTGAAATCAGTTTTCGTGCTAAGTCAGTATAGCAACTTCATTCATTATCAAGAACGTACCTCCAGCTCCATTTTTTACTTATGTTTTTTAATTTTTTTTGTTGTATCGCAAGTAGTGCGAAGCTTTGCTTCGCCTCTGTGTTTAACTATTTAATTCATTTTCTTAGACGCTTTGGAAAAATTTTGCTTTTTTCGCAAATGTTTTCAATTTTCTCTGTAACTACACTGACAATTTTCAACAAAAAGGTACCATTGGACAGACCCCAGCTACTCTCTTAAGTTTGTGCATATTCAGCTAAACTCTTTTTGCCTTATCCCATGTTCTACGGCCTTCGAAAATGTCACTGGAGTATTTTTTTAACCAATTTTTTGATTTTTTTGCCTCAAAAACTATCTTTCCGAATCTCAGTTTAAGAGTTCAATCGATGGAATTCTTCCCGGAAAAAAATAAGGTTTCAACAAAGATGATTTTCGACAATCTGGTCGTTTTTTTAAAGAGTAATGAACTCTTATACAGGTCTTGCTAATTTTTTTTTTGTTTTTTTTTTCAGGAAAAAGTTTTAAAAGTCTCTAATAACTACAGATGTGCATTTATACATATTGATTCATTTATAAATGCACTTAGGTATATAAGCACTTCCTAAGTTTAATTGAAACTCGTCTGCTGAAAATGACGTAAATAGCACTCTCCAAATACGAACGTGGAAATGGCTGAAAAAAAGCGTAAGCGATTTTTAGTTTAGAAAGTGGAATTTAATTTTTAGGTTTCCAGCGGATTAAAAACTTCACCTGTTGTTCCAGTTTTCTCATATTGTAATAATGCTATCAAAAACGCCAATCATAAATTGTTCTAGAAATTCAGAGAGCTTAAAGGGCATCTATTTTTTTTCTTTGAAATTCGATTTTTTCAAAGTCTGTTTTTTTTCAAGGTTTACTTGCGTTCATTACTCTTTTCCAATCGTTTAGTGCCAAATCTGACATTGAATTTTCAATCGAACGAAAAAGTTCTTAGAATATTTGCTACATAAGCGGCATTGGCAAGTTGTTAGAATATATAGCTGCTTTATTTGTTGGAACAGTAATTTATTCAATTTTCTATGTTTATTTTCAATTTTTATGTGTGTAGGGCTGCTTTTTGTCTTTTTCTCGCGTGTGTTTGCAAAGCACAGCTTCGCTTGTGTAGAATTTTTTTTAGAGAAACGGATATGTTTTTATCTCCCCTGCAAAATCTTTTCTCCATCTGTATTTTTAAAGGTAATAAACGTAGTAAGATCTCTTAAACAGGTCTTGGTAATTTTTTTTAAGGAAAAAGCCGTAAAATTTGTTCACGTTCAATTTTGGTTTTTCGCGGTTTCACTGTGATTTCTTTTTAAGTTCAGTTCACTTCATTTGGTAACAGGAAGGCAAACTCCACTATCTAATAGCAAAAAAGTTAAAGCCACAAAAAACGTGATCGAATTCTAGTTTCGAAAGTGGATGGTAATTTTCAGATTTCCTAGCGAAATAAAAAACATACTTATCGATCGAGCTATCTCAAATTGGGTTACTTTTATCAAAAAAGCACCAATCATAAATTGTTCTTGAAACTCAAAGAGCTTTAAGGCCATATCTTTTTTCATTAAAATTCGAAAGTAAAGTTTTTTCTAAAACCAAGTCAATTTATTCTGTTTCTTGCGTTCATTACTCTTTTCAAACTGCATGTTGGCTGCATTTTGAATTTTTATCAAACAGGTACCTCCAGTCCTAGCTGGGATCTTTTTGCTTAACAATTTTTAAGCCAACATTGCACAGATTTTAAGCCTTTTTTGCTTGAGTTTGCAAGTGCAGCTTCGCCCTTATGCTTTCAATTGTGAAGTCACGAGAGTCAATGATAAACAGTATTAGATAAATTTTATCAGCAAATTTTTTGTTTTCAAACTAATTTTAAATTGATTTTATTGAGTTTTATTGCTAATGATTGCTCCATTTTAAAGATATCGGCAGGTTTCTAAAGTATCTATCTTCTTTCCTTTAAGCATAGAAGTTTTCATTTGATGGATAAAATAAATATCGTCTGAAAATCAATAGCTGCTAAGTTTTGTGAGACAATTTTCTTAAAGGCTATCATCTATCAATTGTTTTTATGGTTTGAGCCAAATTTTTGGCAATATTAGTGGCCTTGGACTATTTAATCATAAAAAATATAAACATTTTAGGTTAATTAGTTTTGCGGAAACCGTTTTTACATGTGGAAATCAGTTATAAACTCAAATCTAACGTCAAATGAGCAGTTTTGGGTTTATTAATTTCGTTCAGATTCGTTGAGCGAAAGAATATTGCCAATAGTTTTAACTAACTATACAGTGTTGATTTAAATTATCCGGACAAAAAGCATAAAACATGGAAGTTTAAAACGTGTTTTTCTCAATTATGGTTGAATTAATATGTTGCAATTTGTTTTGCAAAGTTCGGCCCGAAGTTCATTTATGGTTTTTTCAGTCAATCAGGACTATCCGGTGAAATACTGTAAAAACTATATCAAAATGATAATCTTACTTGGCCATACAAACGTTAAAGAAGGGTATAATCTCCAAAACATTGTATCAGTTAAATATTTTTTGATTGAAAGCCAAAATCTCATTTTTACTTTATTAAATATCAAAAGTTTTTAACTTTGCGCGAAATTTTTCTGAGATTATGAGCCACTAAATTTTTTTGGGCTACGTAAAAGGCTCACTTAGATATAATTTTGGCATTTCATGAAGTATTTTATATAGTGAGCCTCTTATGTGAGCCTCCTAAGTTAGCCTCTTTCGTATTTTATAAAGCGAGCCTCTTAAGTGAGCCTTTTGGCATTTTATAAAGTGATCCTCTAACGTACTGCCAAAATGTCATTTTTAATTTATAAAATACCAAAAGTTGTAAACGTTTCGCGCAATTTGTTGGAGATTATGACCCGCTAAACTTTTTTAGGCTACGTACGAGGCTCACTTCGATATAGTTTTGGCAGTAATTGACTTGGTAGTTGTAGCGTAATTTTTGTTTGACTGAAAAAGCCAACATGATCCGTTTTTGGGGTAAAATTTTGGGCCATAATTTCACAAATTGTACCATAAATCTGCTTAAATCTTAAGCAAATTTTGTCTTCCTCACCTTTCACTTAATTTGATTTGATTTTAAGTTTTTGCTTTTCGTTCCGATAATTTAAATCAGCACTTGAGCATTTTATGTTTAAAACTTTTGTCGGACAAGGTTTTTATGTGTGGCAATCACTGGTAAACTGAAATCTGACGTCGAAATGAGCAGTTTCAGCTGAGTTAATTTTGTTAAGATTCATTGACTGAAAAGGTATTGCCAACAATTTGGCTTTAACTATAGTTGTCGATTGTTTCGGTGCCTTTTTTCAGGCTGAAAAGAAGCTAAAAGAGGAAAGCGATGAGATAACCCAGTTGTTAAAAGACAGACAGAGTAGCTACGACAAGTACAAACAGATGGCCAAAGACAAGTATGCTCAAAGACAACTTCAACAGCAGCAGATGAATGGAGCTAATGGGGCAGCAGGCGCCGGAGGCAGTTGGTTTGGATCCATATTCGGCTCCTGAGGAGAATCAACAGCCCATGTAAGAACAGAAATACGTTAGACACAATGATTGAAACAAATCAATTGAGGGTACCTGTTTTTGTGTAAGTAGTATAGAATGTGCCGACCACTGTTAGCATCGCCTAACTAAGAAACTATGATTCAGCAAATTATAAGACTTTTAAATTAGATTAATTGGACCGGTATTTCTCGATGCTGAAATTTTTAAAAATTATTTTAGAATCCAAATTTCGGCTCAAACGGCTTAAATTTAATTACATTTGTCGAAATTTGATGTTTTCTATGGAATCTTTGCCCAATTGAAAGTAATGGCAAATAGTATTTCTTGAAGCATATTTTCGGCATATTCAGAACATTATGTCAGTTTCCCAAAATTTCATCCTGCTTGCGAGTAGCATGTCTTATCAAATCGGAATATAGACTTTTTTCGGGTTACCAACTAGTTTAATAAAATCAGGTGAATCAAATTGCATCTCTTTTCTGATGGAATGCAAGGCATTCGATATTTTCAGCATGTCTGAATTTTAAATGGCTTTCCATTCTAACTATTGTTGTTGCTTTCTTTTCCTTTATTGCTGACTATTTTCGTTTTTTTTTTTTTTCACTTTTATATCTGTTTGCTCAAAATTCGTCGTTTTGAGGGCAAACATTTTATTTATTGAATTTGTGCTCTTGAAGGGGAGGGGGTGAAAAACTTGAAAGTTTTTTTTTATAGCTCAAACGTTTTTACAGCTTTTTTTGGCTCATTTGTCGTTTGCCCAAGTGTTGTGTGCTCATAACCTTTTGGTGAAGATTTTTTTTCATTTGTTCCGAATCAGTGGCTTTGTCCTATTTTCTTTCGGCTAGCTGCCGTTTTTTAAGGGTGCCGCAAGTAGTGCAAGGCTAAGTTTCGCATCTGTGTTGAATGTGTTTTGAAGTGGAAGTTATTTTCACTTATATAGGTCGTGATGATTTTTTTTCTAGGGTTTTTCGCGGTTTCTTTTATTATAACCCTTGCGAGAAGCCAATGTTTTGCAATTGGGTACTGCGTTTTTTTCTCCCATAAATAATTTTGTTCACAGGACTCATCTGGAGTCTTTGCCTGGAATGCTCTGTGAGCAAAAAAAAAAGTTTTGGTTGATAGTAATTTTCTACGCTCTTCCAATTTCATGATGGTTATCTTTGAGGGTTAAACCGAGTTAACTTTTCTGAAGCGTTTGCCAGTTTCCGATGATATCATATTAAAGCCCTATTAGTTGTGTTTGGGTTTCTAACAAACATCAAAATAGTTGTCTCGATGTCGATAAAAAACTTATCGACACCGAGACAACGTTTGCATTAAATAAGACAGGAATTAGAGGCTTGCCTTCAAATTCATTTCTACTGGTTTTAAGGCTATCTTAGTTATTATGTAGCAATTCGTGGATTTGTTCTCCTATTTCAAAAGACTTGAAATTAAGTTATCAGTAATTTTTGTTTTCAAATTGTTGTTTATATTTGAATTTTTTCTTCAATGAGGTCGAAACACTCTGTACTACTTGCACAGCAACGGGCAATACTTGATAATAATTGCACAATCAGAGAAGATAGCAATATCATGTTACAAGCATGTTTTTCTCTTTGTAATCCAGTATATAATATTTGTCTTTACATAAGCTATAGCCAGTGTGTTGCAACCAGGAATTGACTTTGTTCACAGGATTCATTAGTAATTTTTGACTAAATTAGACAGGAATTAGAAGCTTGCCTCCAAATTTAATTCTTCTAGTTCTAAGGTTATCTTAGTTATTATTTAGCAATTCGTGGATTTTTTGACATATTTCAAATTGTTCTTTGATTTTGAAATTTTTCTTCAATGCGGTCAAAACATTCTGTACTGCTTGCACAGCAATGGGCAATATTTGTTAATAATTGCATAATCAGAGAAGATAGCAGTATCATATTACAAGCAATCTGTGTTATACAGATGTACAAGCTTTACGCGCATTGTAATCCAGCATATAATATTTTCTTTACATGTTCGTTAGCCAGTGTGTTGCAACCGGGAACTAGAGTTTTTTCTTGAAACGACTTAGTTCACAGGGTTCATCTGGAACTACTGCAACAGACATGTTTTGAGCATGTCAGCAATTTGATTATCCGTCTTATTCGACGATTGCTTTTTATGCTGGTTGTAATTTACTTCTTCTGGTACGCTTTTTAAGCAGATTCTTTACAAAGCTTAGAGTTTTTATGTTTGATTTAAACAGTTTTAATCTATTATATATTTAATTGCGGGCTTCACTATCTCGCCATGTTTAAGCTTTTTCAACGTATTATTTTTGCATGTTTAAGCTATATCGCATATAGCAATGGTTAAGATTTTTTCTCGATTTTCCTATTTGATTTTAGTGGTTATTTTACCGAGTTTAAATTAAGCAGCCCAATATCAAATAATGGGTTGCGAATTTGGCCTCCAATTTTGAATGCCCGAATCATTTTAGTGAACGAGATGAGACGATTTTCGCAAAAGAAATTATTATCTCTGTAGTGAGGCTCTGTCAGGGTACTCTCTGGGTACCAAATAGGACTGCTAAAAATCGTGCAGTTTTCCAGATATATGTTTACAATTTGATTATCCGTCCTATTTTTTGTGATTTTTTCAAAAAAAAAACTCATGAAAATTAAGTTATTTTTTTTTCAAAGTTTGAAATTCCTAACCTGTAGTTAGGGGGCTGTCAGAGGAATCTCAGGAGTTGCAAATCTTGCGTCCAAATGCGAATGCTCAATTGCTTTCAGTTTCCCAGATGTGACGTTTCTTAATTCATACTACTTCTTTTAGAAAACTTAAGGTGAAGTTTCTCAAAATTTGAAGTTACCAACGTTGTAGTTGGGTACTGTAAGAGTACTCTCAGGAGTTGCAAATCTTGCGTCCAAATGCGACTGCTCAATTGCTTTCAGTTTCCCAGATGTGACGTTTCTTAATTCCTTATAAACTTAGATATAAAAAAAATGTCACAAATTTTAATGGTTTTTCAAAATTTGAATTAAAAAACGAATGAAAAACTTTACGAAGTTTGAAGTTACTCTCAGGAATTGCAAATCTTGAGTCCAAATGCGACTGCTCAATTGCTTCCAGTTTCCCAGATGTGACGTTTCCTGATTCATTATAAACTTAGTTATAAAAAAAAATGTCACAAATTTTTATGGTTTTTCAAAATTTGAATTAAAAAAACGAATGAAAAACTTTACAAAATTTGAAGTTACTCTCAGGAGTTGCAAATCTTGCGTCCAAATGTGACTGCTCAATTGCTTTCAGTTTCCCAGATGTGACGTTTCTTAGTTCATTTTAAATTTTTCGAAGAACTTATATAAAACTTCACAAAATTTTATGGTTCTTCAAAATTTGTTTAAAAAACGTGAATAAAAAACTTTGCAAAATTTTTAATTACGAACCCTGTAATTGGGTGCTGTCAGAGTATACTCAGAGAATTGTTTTTTTGAGTTGTTGAAAATTCGAAGCACCGGAGGTGCGGTACACGCTAGTTTTAATTGAAAGGTGTTCTGTAGTTTGTAGGTTTGCCAACCCTGATATGTAATAATTTAATTAATTTTTTTTTTGCTAAACGGTTTCGCTTTATGTTATATCGACACATTCAACCCATGTTGCGTCGTTTTGAAGGCAATTTTTAGAAAAGTTTTTGTCTGTTTTAATAGGGATGGGTCGTAAATTTATTGGTTTTAAAATTTTATAGCTTGAGTTTTTTTCATGGCTACAGTTCCATTTTCAGTCTAAAGAGGATCGACCCAAGTTTTTTTGACCTAGCTGTCAGTCGGCCATTAATTCTCAGTGCTTTCTAAGGTTTTTTATGAACCTCATCCGAAACAAAAGTTTTGAAATTGCTGTTTTAAAAAAAATTCCTGTTTTTATTCGATATTTTTCTATACAATTTTTTCGCCTCGGTTTAACATTAAATTGACCTGGCATGATGTTTTTTTTTCAAAACTAGCTTTGTTTTTGTTGATAGATCTATTATTTGGTAGTTTTCGTTTTTTCGATTTTATTGCACAGAACGATCCGGTCGTTCAATCAATAAAACGAAAAATTGAGGCGCAGAATATTTTTTTAGTTTTCGTTTAAAAAAATTGTCGCAAATTGGAAATTGTCGCAAATTTTAATTAGTTGATTTTTGTTTCTTTGATGTTTTTTTTCTCAAATTTGTTTTTCCGGTTAGTGAAGGGTTTGTTTTTTTTCTGTGAGGAATTAAAAATGTAGTTTAAATTTTATCTAGAAAATATTTTTGTAACTGGTGGTTTTTGTTAGTGCTAATGATTGAAATAATTTATTAAAGTAAGAGGAGCTTTGTATCCTAGTGTATTGTTTCTTCAATTTCATTTTGTTTCCCATGCAAAATCAGGTATCACAGTTAATCATCGGAATGGGTCGAGTGATATATCACATTAAGAACGATTCAGCCGTGGTCAGAACGACATTAAAAAATTTCAAAAATGCTGTTGCAGTGTAGAGAAAAACCGGTTCGAAGTTTTTGGTTTTTGGTCCAATTTCGAGCGAATAACGTGAGCGAGCAGGCTAGTTTTGGTTTCCACGCAAAATCAGGTACCACAAATAATCATTGGAATAGGTCGAGTGAAATTTTATGTTAAAGCGCTTTCAGTCGTTTCAAAAAATTGTCCCAGTGTTAAGAATAACTGGTTTGAAACGATGGAATCCGGCGAGGAAAGCGAGTGTTATAGTAGGATTAAAGGTGAAGCTTTTATTCAAGCGCTGAAAATTTAGATTTACTCCATTAAAAGTAGTTTTTTATCACCATCTTGGGATTAATCATTGAACTTTTTTCTCGTCATGTTTTGACTTAAATTATTGACTAATTTGTCTATTTTACTATGACTACCGAATATGTTTTAGCTTAGGCTTTCGTTTAAATCATTTTTTATACCATTGACAAAAAACAGACACTACCATGGATACTAATTTGAATTTTTTTGTGGTTGTTTTTCTTTTTTGACAGATAGTATGACTATAATCCTAGCATATATAAAGAAGTAGTACAGACAACTGGCTCCTCTGGACAACTATGCTCAAAGCTTTTCTAATTAGCAATTGTTGCGATTTTCGAAGACAGGGAGGAATATATATGCTTGGTTATTTTTCAAGTGTCATGAACGTAGTGAATACTCTGATATAGGTCTTGGTGATATTTTTTCGGGAAAGTCTCGTTCAGGTGCAAATTAACTTTTTCGCGATTTGACTTCTGATTTCTTTTTAAGTTCAGTTCATTTCCTTTCGTAAAATGAAAGCAAACTCCCTTACCGAACAGTAAAATTGTCTAGGCACGAAAAACGTAATTGACTTCAGTTTCGATGGTGGAATTCAATTTTCGATTTTTCAGCGCGATAAAAAAGTTTTCCTATTGATCCAGGTTTCTCAAAATGGATCAATTTTATCATAAGTTTACTATGAATTTCATAGAGCCTTAAGGCCATATATTTTTTCTTAGAAACATGAAGTTTTTTTCGAAAAAGAGTCAGCTTTGTTGTTATCTTGCGTTCATGAGTCGTTTCCAACTGTCTTTTGGATATGTTTATTAATTCCATTCGTATAATTTAATTCCCGAAATCTAAAAAAGTTGTAGATTGGGGATTGACCTTGGAATCTACGTGAAGCGAGTATGAAGCTGAAAGCGTAACACGAATTGTTATCTCGCACACAAAATTCATACTACATAAATCTTAATTCATACTACTTCTTTTAGAAAACTTAAGGTGAAGTTTCTCAAAATTTGAAGTTACCAACGTTGTAGTTGGGTACTGTAAGAGTACTCTCAGGAGTTGCAAATCTTGCGTCCAAATGCGACTGCTCAATTGCTTTCAGTTTCCCAGATGTGACGTTTCTTAATTCCTTATAAACTTAGATATAAAAAAAATGTCACAAATTTTAATGGTTTTTCAAAATTTGAATTAAAAAACGAATGAAAAACTTTACGAAGTTTGAAGTTACTCTCAAGAATTGCAAATCTTGAGTCCAAATGCGACTGCTCAATTGCTTCCAGTTTCCCAGATGTGACGTTTCCTGATTCATTATAAACTTAGTTATAAAAAAAAATGTCACAAATTTTTATGGTTTTTCAAAATTTGAATTAAAAAAACGAATGAAAAACTTTACAAAATTTGAAGTTACTCTCAGGAGTTGCAAATCTTGCGTCCAAATGTGACTGCTCAATTGCTTTCAGTTTCCCAGATGTGACGTTTCTTAGTTCATTTTAAATTTTTCGAAGAACTTATATAAAACTTCACAAAATTTTATGGTTCTTCAAAATTTGTTTAAAAAACGTGAATAAAAAACTTTGCAAAATTTTTAATTACGAACCCTGTAATTGGGTGCTGCCAGAGTATACTCAGAGAATAGTTTTTTTGAGTTGTTGAAAATTCGAAGCACCGGAGGTGCGGTACACGCTAGTTTTAATTGAAAGGTGTTCTGTAGTTTGTAGGTTTGCCAACCCTGATATGTAATAATTTAATTAATTTTTTTTTGCTAAACGGTTTCGCTTTATGTTATATCGACACATTCAACCCATGTTGCGTCGTTTTGAAGGCAATTTTTAGAAAAGTTTTTGTCTGTTTTAATAAGGATGGGTCGTAAATTTATTGGTTTTAAAATTTTATAGCTTGAATTTTTTTCATGGCTACAGTTCCATTTTCAGTCTAAAGAGGATCGACCCAAGTTTTGGTTTTTGGTCCAATTTCGAGCGAATAACGTGAGCGAGCAGGCTAGTTTTGGTTTCCACGCAAAATCAGGTACCACAAATAATCATTGGAATAGGTCGAGTGAAATTTTATGTTAAAGCGCTTTCAGTCGTTTCAAAAAATTGTCCCGGTGTTAAGAATAACTGGTTTGAAACGATGGAATCCGGCGAGGAAAGCGAGTGTTATAGTAGGATTAAAGGTGAAGCTTTTATTCAAGCGCTGAAAATTTAGATTTACTCCATTAAAAGTAGTTTTTTATCACCATCTTGGGATTAATCATTGAACTTTTTTCTCGTCATGTTTTGACTTAAATTATTGACTAATTTGTCTATTTTACTATGACTACCGAATATGTTTTAGCTTAGGCTTTCGTTTAAATCATTTTTTATACCATTGACAAAAAACAGACACTACCACGGATACTAATTTGAATTTTTTGTGGTTGTTTTTCTTTTTTGACAGATAGTATGACTATAATCCTAGCATATATAAAGAAGTAGTACAGACAACTGGCTCCTCTGGACAACTATGCTCAAAGCTTTTCTAATTAGCAATTGTTGCGATTTTCGAAGACAGGGAGGAATATATATGCTTGGTTATTTTTCAAGTGTCATGAACGTAGTGAATACTCTGATATAGGTCTTGGTGATATTTTTTCGGGAAAGTCTCGTTCAGGTGCAAATTAACTTTTTCGCGATTTGACTTCTGATTTCTTTTTAAGTTCAGTTCATTTCCTTTCGTAAAATGAAAGCAAACTCCCTTACCGAACAGTAAAATTGTCTAGGCACGAAAAACGTAATTGACTTCAGTTTCGATGGTGGAATTCAATTTTCGATTTTTCAGCGCGATAAAAAAGTTTTCCTATTGATCCAGGTTTCTCAAAATGGATCAATTTTATCATAAGTTTACTATGAATTTCATAGAGCCTTAAGGCCATATATTTTTTCTTAGAAACATGAAATTTTTTTCGAACAAGAGTCAGCTTTGTTGTTATCTTGCGTTCATGAGTCGTTTCCAACTGTCTTTTGGATATGTTTATTAATTCCATTCGTATAATTTAATTCCCGAAATCTAAAAAAGTTGTAGATTGGGGATTGACCTTGGAATCTACGTGAAGCGAGTATGAAGCTGAAAGCGTAACACGAATTGTTATCTCGCACACAAAATTGTTACAAAGAAATCAGGCGAGCTAGTTGGTCATATTATTCCATTACGACTCAAGTTTTAACTCTCAATTTTTGATTTTGAAGTCCAAAAGTTATAAATTATCATACAAAGTTTGTTTTGGGATTGATTGATTTAAATCAGTTTTTAGTCAATTGAAAGTGCCATCCGAATAGATTCAAAATGACACAATTGTATAGGGCAGTCAACTTGGAAACTTGAATGTCCGAGGGCTAAAGTTCAATTCCCGTAGAGGCAGGCATGGATCTAGGAGGATTTTCTCGAGGGGGGGTGGATTTTCAAAAAAAAAATTTAAAAATTTTGTCGACTTTTTTTAGGTCGGACCAAATTGATTTTCTGAGCTCTCCCAAATCACTATAAAGACCCCATTTTGACCAATTTTTCTGCACCGCAGGCAAATTTTTCAAAAAAAAAAGGCCAAGAAAGGCGTTTCTAGGCACTTTTTGGAAAATATTGACCAAAAATCGCGTTTTTTCAGCGCGCGCTCCCCCTTCAAAATTAGTATATATTCGCGCCTTTAGAAAAATTTTAGGGTCAGTCCGCCAAAAATGGATATCTCAAAATAGTACAAAGGGGGGAGCTGCGCCTCTGTGTAAAAAAAAACATCCAATTTTTGATTTGCCCAAGTTCTTAAGCGTTTTTACAACTGTCATAGGCTTTTTATTTGCTTCAATAGTTTCAAAAAGTACTTACTGTTTTATTTAGGACATACTTGACTGCATCTTTGGTTTCAATGCCTCACATGTATTGCAATCTGGTCGTTCGTTTTGCCCCTTTCCCGCTGAGAAAAGAGTTCAAAGAAAGGCTAACTGACTTACCGCAAGAAAACTGGAACAGACTGTATATGGAGTTATCAATTTGTGGAAGCCGATTTATAAATCAAGTTTTTGCTGTTTGTTGTTTATACTTCAAAGGTAAACTCCACCTGTGGCGTTTATTGCAATTAATTTGCTTGTTGGTTTAAAATTATAATTGCTTAGTTTTTGAATTTAGTTTGACACATAAATCATATATGTATAACTGTAAATGAAGTTCTTCACAAGAAAAAACAATCGATCAATATCACATCCTAAAATTGCAGTTGCGATGGTTTGCGTCCCCAAAAATTTGTAGTCTTCTCTCATTTCAACTGTTCAAAGTTATATTGGATGAAGTTCAAAGAATAATAGTTTTCCGTGTTCTGTTTTTTTTCTGGTATTACGACGAAAAAGTTGATCAATTGTGTCATTTCTCGATTGCGCAAATCATTTTTATTCTAAATCGTATTTATTGCAATGTTAGAGAAATTGAATTGAATTTACTTTTCTTGATTTTTGTCTGGAACTGCGTTTGCCCTTAGCCTTCAAGATGATATGCTTCTTGGTTTGCGTTAAACCCTCAAATACAAGAAAATTAGTACGTTGCAGATTTGAATTATTTCTAAATTTAACTGGGGCTAGAGTTTTTCAAAAATAGCGTCTGGAATAAAAATAATTTTTACAGGAGAAAAGGAAGAATTAAGAATAAGGCAAAGAAGTTCAAAGTAGGGAAGATGCTGCAAAAGATAAATTTAGACGCCATATGAATCTTTGTTATTTTTCTAATTTGCTTTAACTGGGTCGTTCAACAGTGCCAAAAGTTGATGATATTTGAAAATTTTTGGCAAAATCGAGAAGAAGTTTTGGCAATTGCAGTAAACTTTTTATTGAGCGAAATTTATTTTGTCGCGCATGGAAAACTTTTTTGTTTAACATGAGAAAAAACAGTATTCAAAATTATTTTCGGCGCTCTTGGACAACTTTTAATTTTCTCCACTGTTGTACTGACTCGCTATAACTTCGATGTTCATAAAGTTGATAGTTTTAAGCTAGTTTTTAAAGCACGTAATTTAAGTTGAGGTAAAAGTTAGCGACGAATTGAGTTGTATCCGATGGGTAGAATCGTTTTTCAACCAAATCTGAAGCTTTTCAGTATATAGGAAATGTTTTTGTTGACTTCACAATATCAACCACCTTCCGTTTTACCTTCCACGTAAACCCTCAAATACAAGAAAATTAGTACGTAGCAGATTTGAATTATTTCTAAATTTAACTGGGGCTAGAGTTTTTCAAAAATAACGTCTGGAATAAAAATAATTTTTACAGGAGAAAAGGAAGAATTAAGAATAAGGCAAAGAAGTTCAAAGTAGGGAAGATGTTGCAAAAGATAAATTTGGACGCCATATGAATCTTTGTTATTTTTCTAATTTGCTTTAACTGGGTCGTTCAACAGTGCCAAAAGTTGATGATATTTGGAAACTTTTGGCAAAATCGAGAAGAAGTTTTGGCAATTGCAGTTAACTTTTTATTGAGCGAAATTTATTTTGTCGCGCATGGAAAACTTTTTTGTTTAACATGAGAAAATACAGTATTCAAAATTATTTTCGGCGCTCTTGGACAACTTTTAATTTTCGCCACTGTTGTACTGACTCGCTATAACTTCGATGTTCTTAAAGTTGATAGTTTTAAGCTAGTTTTTAAAGCACGTAATTTAAGTTGAGGTAAAAGTTAGCGACGAATTGAGTTGTATTCGATGGGCAGAATCATTTTTCAACCAAATCTGAAGCTTTTCAGTATATAGGAAATGTTTTTGTTGACTTCACAATATCAACCACCTTCCGTTTTCTTCATTGCGAATAATCGCGTAATTGCCCGTCATAAAAATCATGTCCAGACATTTGTTCAAGATTTTTGGGGTGTAACGGATAATGACAGGGGTTTAAGGCTTATCTAGCGCCAATGTCCCAGCAACAGACGGGTCATTTTATTTATTCCGCCCAAATTGTCGAATCTCAAGTTACGAAAATAGAATTGAAAATGCTCATATCTAATTGGTTAAAATCGTGTATATTGCCAATACATAGTCAGAACAACCCGTTTACTTAGTGATGTTAGGGGTATGTTGGGCGGAATAACTACAATTACCTTACAGCTATGCTAGTCCTCCTGCACGAACTTGTGCTTGTCTGAGTTCTTGAGCTGGTTGCTGCTGTAATTGAGAGTTGAGTGTCTGCCGGGGTTGTGCATGCGACTGTCCATGATGTTAGTGAGACTACCCCCCATGAATCCGAGACCGGTGCCTCCATTCCTGTCTCCCACTGTCAAATGTGTCTGCACAAAAAATAACCCTTCGAGGAAAAGCACCAACATTCGAGCTGTTTAGTTCATTATAGAGAAACGCTATTGTTTGTTAAGAGTTGCATGTAAACTTTTTGGTCATGTAGTACAGGAAATTGGAAAAAAAATGAGACAACTCCATGATTGCGAGCTCGATAAGATTTTGCTCACTTTTCGATTTACTAATAATTTCGCTTTCGTGTGTTTGTTAATCAGTAGCAAACAACTGTTCGAAATATATCGAGAGATCATGAAAAGTCGGTTAAGCCTATCGAGTGATGCCTTTAGTGTTTTTTCTCACTTTTTCTAGCTGGAAACCTATTTAAGAGTCGAAGAACGCAAACTCCACTAGCAAACAACAGAAGTGTAAAGGTCACGAAAAACGATCTACTTCTAATTTCGGAAAAGGATTTAAGTGTTCAGATTTCCCAGCGGAATACAAACTTTAACTATTGTTCCAGGTTTCTCAAATTGAGTTGATTTATCATAAAAAGTTTCAATCATAAATTGTTCTGGAAATTCAAAGAACTGTAAGGTCATATATTTTTGTTCTAGAAATTCAAAGAGCTTTAAGGTCATCTATTTTTTTGTTGGAAAATTGAAAATTGTTTCAAAAACAAGTCAGTTTTTTTCAGTTTCCTTGCGTTCGTTGACTCTTTTTGAACTGTCTGTTGGCAGTGTTTTGGCTTAAATTTTACATTCAAGCCAAAAATTTACGTTGTGAACCCTGATGGCAATGTTTTGGTTTAAATTTTATATTCAAGCCAAAAATTGACGTTGTTATAAGATAAAACTATTGGTAAAATTTTAATTTTAACCTGAGTAATTCACCAATGATGTTCATTGACCTATTTATTAAATAATTTTACTTGAACTCATCTAAAATTTTTCTGATACGTTCGGTTTGATTTTCATCAATGGGGTAAATAAATTTAATTAAAGCTTTTGTTTAATTGATTACTTAACGAATGTTTGTTTTTAGTTATGACGTACGTGTTTTTTGTCAAGGATTTCTCTATTTCTTCATTTTTATGCGACTACTGATGTTATACTGGGTGTTCCTTTTTTATTCCACTCAGATTGTTTTCTCGTTTTATAAATGTTTGACTCTTTTAAGCTGTACTAGTACTTATTTTTCTAAGTTTCGTATACTTTCAAATGTCTCTGAATTAATCTATTCATATGATTATACGACCTTTCAACTTTCTGCAGTAATGTTTTAGTAGCTACGGCTAGCCTTGCAATTGATTCGTTTTTTTAGTAAATTATTAAGTTTTTAATAAAAATCAAGTTTTTCATCTAATATCAAATCTAGATGCTTTAAATGTTTTTTTTTGCTTAACTGTCATAGTAAGTCATAGCTAAATAGGTGCGAGTTATATGCGCGCTTGTCAATCAAAATATTTAACCTCCGGGTATTTTCGGGCATAGCAAAATTAGTTGAAAACTTGAACAGTTTTTGACCGGTTATGCGACAGTGCGAAAGGACTGGATGGATGTCTTTTGAAGAACTTTGTTTTTAAGTCAGTTTAGTTGATCAAATGGACCAGAGGGTAGCTCGCTGTTTTATGTTAGCTGGCGCGTAATCTTACACTATTCAATTTAAAAAAAATCGATTTTTTTAGCGTTTCCTTTCGCTTTGTGTACCTAGTAGTCTCATGCCTGAAAAAAAATTTATTATCATTTGTATTTGATGAAAATAGCTGCTTTGGAAAAGTATGGGAATTTTTTTTCCAAAGTGTTTACTTATTCTTTACATTTTCTCAAAAAAGACCCTATCAAAACTGAGATTTTGGCTTTGAATGAAAGAAAAGGTCAAGGAAAGCTTTGCTGCTTAAGCAGCTACGCCTAAGTTGGCTCTTCACAGTATTCATGTCCGCCAAAAAGGCTTTTTTGACATTTTGACAGTTTCTGTGAAATTTTTTGACTGATCAGATTCTTCTTTTTTTCCCGTATGTTTTGACTCATGTTTTATAACTTTACATTTTCTCAAAAACAAACCTGGAAAATCTGAGATTATGGATTTAAATGAAAGAAGGGTCGACGAAAACTTAACTGTTTCAGCGGCTACGCACAAAATTACACCTCACCGACACGCCCTGTAAAATCTGATATCAAGAGTTTAACAAACTAAACAAGTTGTGCGAAGCCTCCCTGCATACTCGGATATGCCCAAAACTTAAAGAAAAAGTTAACGCTATCGGAAAACTTATTTTTTTGAAATTTTGAGCGTCTTAGAAAACTTGACTTTTCTCAAAACTAATTTAACAAATCTGGTATCAAGAATTTAATCAAAACAAAAGAGTTTTGAAAATCACTTCTGCACGCACGGTTAAATTTTTTTAGTTTTAGAAACAAAATTTATGGCTTTCGGAATAGTCAAATTTTTGAAACGACCAATTTTTAGAACCTTCAATTTTTGTCTCTACGACAGCGGTGAAACCCTGGTTTTTGTTGGAAAAGTGTTAAAATTTTGAACAATTCCATCTTTCTAAATTTTCACGGTTTTCGCAAAACACTTCTTTCTCCAAAACTATCCTGTCACATATGAGATTTATGTTTTAGTCAAAAAACAAATTGGAAACATTTTTCCTGCTTACAGGGATCAGTCGAACAGTTAGGTCATTTGATTTTCACTGGAAAAGCAGCTATGCTCATATTTTTGTTTGAAAAAATTGTTAAAAACTTCGATCGTTTTCTAGAAACTTTTTTCTCCAAAAAAAATCATTAAAAAAACTTTCTTTTTTTGTAAAAAAAAACCGGTATGGCTGTAGAAAAGTCCGTCTCTGAAATGTTTTCGCTTTTCAGAATTTTTCCATTTTTATTGTAATTAATCTGACATTGAGATCAAATGAAAAAAGTCAGTAGAAACCTTCCCTGCTTATGCGGCTAAAACTTTCTTTTTTTGTAAAAAAAACCGGTATGGCTGTAGAAAAGTCCGTCTCTGAAATGTTTTCGCTTTTCAGAATTTTTCCATTTTTATTGTAATTAATCTGACATTGAGATCAAATGAAAAAAGTCAGTAGAAACCTTCCCTGCTTATGCGGCTAATCCTATAATTTAGTAGAGAAACCGCTAAGGTTTTTGGTAAACCCAAATTTTCTTATTCTTGAAAATTAAGCATTTCATCTCGCATCAGTTCAACATCTTCCAAAAACATGACACAATTACATCCAGCTTTAGCTAAGCCGTCATATTTTTTGAGTGACTTTACATTTTTCAAACAAAACTAAAATAAGTGATAAAAACTGTTACGAACAATTTTAATTGATGTAGTTAACAAGAATTTTCTTTGCACGACTCATGACGAAAACATTTTTTCCGTTGAAACCCAGGTCGAAGTCGAAGACTCATCTCCTTTTTTTGCGGGTTGCGCCGTATCTGAATTCAGACCCAAATTGCATAGTCGCGCCAAGAGTTTGAGTCTGCAAAGTCTGGGCATGAGTCGCGCCGTGGGTCACAAAAGTTTGGAAAGTCGCTCCATCTCCCCATCTCATGAAAGCCGCGAGAGAATTTTTCTTAGTCGCGCCGTTTTTCCGTTGGTCGCGAATGTCGCTCCGTCTCCATCACGGTCGCAAAAGTCTTGAATTGACTGAGTTTGGTCGCGCCGTCTCCGCCTTGTTCGCGAAAGTCGCGGCTGTGTTTTTTGGTTTTTGGTCGCAAAAGTCTGGAAATGCCAAGTTTTGGTCGCGAAGGTCTCGACATGCCTTATTTCGGTCGCAAAAGTCTGGGCATGCCAAAAATTTGTCGCTAAAGTCTGGACGCGAGTTTTTGACCTCGACCAGTGAAAACTTCAAAAATTTATCTTCAAAACAGTTTCTGATTTTTTTTGACGAAAAAACACCAAAAAAAAGCTTCAAAAACTAGATTGAAGCTCTGTTTCACTAAAAATATCTTTTGAAATCCGAGTCAAGGCTGAAAAAGTTTTTACCTGATGATATACTCGATACCTTAGGAAAACTATTTGTCGTATGTCGTATTGAGTAATTTAGTTCATTTCCAAAGCTGTCAATCAATTGTTCACTCTTGGTGCTAGACTAATTGATTAGCAGGTGTTTGTCCTTGGATCTGTCTGTCACCCTTGGATATTGTTTCTAACCACTCTTGATGCTAACTTTGCAAGATTAAGTTACTGTATATTTATCTCGGAATTAACAATTGCTCGACGATCGTTTTACCTTCTCGACATGGCGCAGACAGCAGGATTAGGTGGGGGAAAGAATCCACTGGGCATCACGGGATTTTGGCCAGCAAAATGCACGGAACCGCCAATGATGTGGGAATTCTGGATCAACAGATTCCAATGGGGAATGGTCGCCAAACACTCGCTAAATCCAATGAATTTTTATTTCGCCGCAAATCTCACAGCCGCACAAATTACTGACTTGCCCGCGGAAGTAGACGGAAAAAATCGGCGGGAATCGGAAATGGTGTTAATTTCGAACCTGTACTTGTGTTTGGGGGAGAAGGGGCAGGATGAACTGCACAAACGACGACCACACCTGGACCTTCAGACGATTCGGTACCCACGGATGATAGACGCGCTGGAAGCGGAATTCAAGAAAGAAAGGAACGAAACATATGAAACGTACCAACTCCTTTCTCGTAAGCAATTTATAAATGAAAGTCTTGAGCAATTCCATTCCGTACTCAGCGGATTGGCAGCGCGGTGCAACTTTGGAACACTAGAGGACCGAATACTAAGAGACGTATTCATCGTTAATATGAACAATCGGGATGCACAAAAAGAGCTCTGCAGATCGACAAAAACACCTGAGGAAGTGTACCGGATAGCTCTCTCGTACGAAAGGGGCAGCAAGTATGCATCCTCATACGTTGCCACGGGACCAGCGGCGACCCCTGGATCATCATCAGGAGGAATCCAAATAAAATCGGAACCAGTTGGAATAATCCGGGAGGTTACCGGAACAACCGTTCAAGGGGCCGGGGCTCTTACCAAGGCCGAGGATCGTATCGAGGAAGGAATCCCCTAA